ATGCTGGGGGTGACGGCGGTGCAGCCGGTGCACGTGGCCGTGTACAGCATTGCCCACGCCCTGCACAGAGCCCTGGGCTGCACCTCCAGGGGCTGTCCCAAAACACCCGTCAGGTCCTGGCAGGTGAGCGTCAGCGCTGAGGCAGGAATGGCACAGATTCCCTCAAAGGCTGGTTTGCAGGATAGTCCCTTTGGAGTTTAATAGGAAAATCCTCTCTTTTACAGACAGATTTGACACATTCTGCTTGATTGGCTAATTAACAAAAACATCTTTCTCACAAACAGAGTAGAAAAACAGCACCTGCAGGTTGTTTATACTAACAAGTTACCCTCGTTTTTCTACAACTCCCTTAAAAGTCTCACAAGCCCACTGTAAGAAAATGAAGTTTTCTCACTCTCTGACCAGGCTGTTGCATCCACAGGTGGTCTGAGGGGCAAACAGCCAGATTTTGTCACCTCACAGCCAGGTTGGCACAATCTCAGCCCACCTAAGGGACAGCTGATGTCAGCTTGCAGAATTGTCATCCTCCAAACAAGAACAGCTGGACCAAAATTTTGGTTTGATTTCCTCCCCAGCTGCTGCACTTCATGAACACCCTCCCGTTCGAGGTGAACGGCCAGAGCTTCAGGTTTGATCAATCCCACAGCACAAACACGGGCTACAAACTCATCTCCTGGGCCTGGGGGGACGATGGCACCCTGACCTACCTGCCCGTGGGGGACTACGACCAGTCCCTGTACATCCGTCAGTCCCAGATCCAGTTCCACACCGCAGATAAGAAGGTAAAAATGGCACAATTAATTCTGCTTTATTGATTTGTTCTCCTGGAGGTGCCTGGCTGATGTTCGCTCCTGCCTTTGCCAGGAGCCCACATCTGAGTGCTTCAGGCGCTGCCAACCAGGACAAGTCAGAAGAATAAAAGGGTTCAACCTCTGCTGCTATGACTGCACAGACTGCTCAGAAAACACCTTCTGGAGCAGCACAGGTGAGGTCTGGCCGATTGAAAGGCTTTGACTGGATTATTCTGTCTCCTGGCCGAGGTGTGATGAGCTCCTCCATAAGCACTGCCAGGTGTTCCCTCCCCGTTCTGCTCCTCACTGGGGACCTGCCCCTGTTGGGCCCAGAGGGAAGGAATGAGGACAAACGTTTATGCTTTATCTGCAGAGCTAGCAGAGAGGGGTATGAGGCAATTCTGGGGGCATGGGTAGAAGAAGAGAGGCAGAGGAAAACATCCTGGCATTGCTGGGGAAGGGAAACAGAGGCAAGAAACACACGGATCCTTCAGGGATGAGGGTGGAAAAGCAGAGTGTGAACCACCACAAGCTTTGACCCTCCAACACAAAAAACACCACCCAAACCACCCCCAAATTGCTGTGTGACCCACCCCCAAGGGTGGCAGGTCCCCAGTGCCCCAAGGCTTCTCTTTGCAGACAGCACCAGCTGCTCCCCGTGCCCGCGGTTGGAGATTTGTTCTCCTGGAGGTGCCTGGCTGATGTTCGCTCCTGCCTTTGCCAGGAGCCCACATCTGAGTGCTTCAGGCGCTGCCAACCAGGACAAGTCAGAAGAATAAAAGGGTTCAACCTCTGCTGCTATGACTGCACAGACTGCTCAGAAAACACCTTCTGGAGCAGCACAGGTGAGGTCTGGCCGATTGAAAGGCTTTGACTGGATTATTCTGTCTCCTGGCCGAGGTGTGATGAGCTCCTCCATAAGCACTGCCAGGTGTTCCCTCCCCATTGTGCTCCTCACTGGGGACCTGCCCCTGTTGGGCCCAGAGGGAAGGAATGAGGACAAACGTTTATGCTTTATCTGCAGAGCTAGCAGAGAGGGGTATGAGGCAATTCTGGGGGCATGGGTAGAAGAAGAGAGGCAGAGGAAAACATCCTGGCATTGCTGGGGAAGGGAAACAGAGGCAAGAAACACACGGATCCTTCAGGGATGAGGGTGGAAAAGCAGAGTGTGAACCACCACAAGCTTTGACCCTCCAACACAAAAAACACCACCCAAACCACCCCCAAATTGCTGTGTGACCCACCCCCAAGGGTGGCAGGTCCCCAGTGCCCCAAGGCTTCTCTTTGCAGACAGCACCAGCTGTGAGGACAAACGTTTATGTTTTATCTGCAGAGCTAGCAGAGAGGGGTATGAGGCAATTCTGGGGGCATGGGTAGAAGAAGAGAGGCAGAGGAAAACATCCTGGCATTGCTGGGGAAGGGAAACAGAGGCAAGAAACACACGGATCCTTCAGGGATGAGGGTGAAAAAGCACAGTGTGAACCACCACAAGCTTTGACCCTCCAACACAAAAAACACCACCCAAACCACCCCCAAATTGCTGTGTGACCCACCCCCAAGGGTGGCAGGTCCCCAGTGCCCCAAGGCTTCTCTTTGCAGACAGCACCAGCTGCTCCCCGTGCCCAAACACCACCCAAACCACCCCCAGATCGCTGTGTGGGTGGCAGGTCCCCAATGCCCCAAGGCTTCTCTTTGCAGACAGCACCAGCTGCTCCCCGTGCCCGCGGCACCAGTGGGCCCCGGCGCGCAGCACGCGCTGCCACGAGCGCGGCGAGAGGTTCCTCTTCTGGGACGAGCCCCTGGCCGTGGCCCTGCTGACCCTGACGGCCTTCACAGCCACGCTGAGCGGCGTGGCAGCCCTGCTGTTCCTGAAGCACCTGCAGAGCCCGCTGGTGCAGCTGGCAGGGGGTGCCAGGAGCCTCCTGGCCCTGCTCTGCCTGCTGCTGCAGAGCCTCAGCTGCTGCCTGTACGTGGGCAGGCCCAGCACGGCGCTGTGCTGCCTGCAGCAGCTCTCCTACGCCCTGTGCCTCAACGGCTGCTTCTCCACCTTGCTGCCCAAGGCCCTGGAGATCACCCTGTTGACGGAATTCCCTCGCCGTGCCCCCGGGCTGCTGCGCTGGGTGACCCACGGCGGGGCCTGGCTCACGGCGGCCGCGTCCGTCGCCATCCAGGCCTTGCTCTGCCTGTGCCACCTCCGCCTGGGCCCCGACTACCTGGTGGCCGACTACGAGTCCCTGCCCAGCGAGGTGCTGCTGGTGTGTGGCACCCAGTCCTGGGCAGCCTTTGCCCTCCTGCACGGCTACAACGGCTGCCTGGCCTTCGCCTGCTTCCTGTGCACCTTCATGGTGCAAACGCCGGCCGGCAGGTACAACGTGGCCAGGGGCATCACCTTCGCCACCTTCATCTACTTTGTCATCTGGATCTTCTTCGTGGTGATGTTTGCCACGCTCAGGACGGTGCTCAGGGCCGTCACGCAGATTTGCACCGTCCTGGCCACCACCCTGGGCATCTTGGCCAGTTACTTCGTGCCCAAGTGCTACATCTTGGTGTTCAGGCCTGATCTGAACACGGGGGATTATTTCCAGAACCCCTCTGAGGTGCAGCCAGATGATAGACAATAAATCACACCCTGGGTCACCTGCTCCTCACAGAGGTTGGATTTTAAGGAGAAAATCCTGTTTATGAGCACTGTGTCTCCAGGCACAATCACATCTGAACCAGGGCTGTGGAAGCACAGGGCTCAGCAAGTCCAGAGGAGCAGCCTCCATCCACTCTGGAAACATTTCAGCCCCAAAATGGAGCCAAAATTAAGTTCAGTTAATGAAAGAACCTCCAGAAATGGTGTTTTACACCAATCTCTCAAGCCTGGAAATGTGAGTCACCAACAGCACTTCCCTGTAAACACTTGTGGTAATTTCCCTTTCTCATTAATTAAGAGCTCCAGAGACAGATCCAGGAATCCTCTCCCCAGCCTTGTAAGAATTGTCAAACCCATCCAATAAGAGAAGCAAAAAGAACATTCTGGCAGGCGCCAGCAGCTGTGTGTGTGGCACAGAGGGGGCACTGCCCGTTCAAATCCCAGCTCACTCCCTTTGTGCCCATGGAAATCAGGGACAGACTCATGGAAATGAGCTCAGTGCCAACCACACCCTGCAAAGGCACAGCAGGAGGTTCCTCCCTCCCCAAAAACCAGGCAAAAATCACCAAAAACTTCACATTGTTGCCAAGTCAGTATCCACTCCCATCACTGAGGTTTTTCTTTTCCCCACTCATGTTGACAAGAAACTATTCTGCTTAAAAGTTTTTCCATTTCTGCTCTTTTGTTCCCTAGATTAAAATTTTTCCATCTCTCCACTGTGTGTTACTGGAATTTAAGCAGTCCAGCTCAATTAAAGAATTTGCCAATTAATCTGAACCAGTGAATATTTTCATTTAAAAAAATAAAAAAAGAAACTTTTGATGCACTGCAAAGATACTTGTCCCCAATTTTTGTGATCACCTCCATCCAAAATTATTCCTCAGTGTGATTAAAAAAACCAAAACTCTGACCTGGAAGCTCTTGTTCCTGAAGCCTGCAGGGATTCTTCACAACCACCTGAAATTCTCAGTATTCCTCCTCCAGGGCTGTGCTTCCATAGCAGAGAAACATTAAATAACTTTTGATCATCATTCCAGAATTAGGGAAAGGAAAAAAAAATCTGATTTAACTCCACCAGGCCCTGCAGGAAAAGACTGTCCATAAATCTGACCATTTAATATTCATTTAAATTCTGATAATTTAATATTCACTTAAATTCTGATGATTTAATATTCACTTCAATTCTGACAATTTAATACTCACTTCAACCTGACCATTTGATATTCTCCTCACTGGAAAATGCTGGGATTTATGAATTTAAATGATGTTTCACTCTCCCCTTGCTGTGTGATCTGTGCCAGCTGGGAAGCAGGAATCTGCCTCACCAAGCTGCGCTTGTTCTTTTTATTTAAGCTGGAAGATTAGAATAATTCAGGCTGGAAAAACCTTTAAATCTCGAGTCCAGCTGAGCCCCTGAGACCCCACAGGGGTCCTGACAAACCCAAGGCTCACCAGGGTTTACACAGGGTGTCCCAGTGATCCTTCTTTCTGCTGGAGAGTCCAAAAACAGGCAATATTTAGGAAATAAATCACAATGAAATACTGCAAAGAACTGAACACATACACTGTGGTTATCACATAAAATTAAAAGCTTTTTAGTGTTTAAAATAGCATTTACACATAAGCAGCTATATATTAACTATACAGACACTTGGGTTTTAATACAATATCTACAAAAAAGAATTCAATTATGCAATAGACATTTAACAGGAACAGTGCAGTCCATGCTAATAAGAGGTCACTCTTGGAGTAGAACCAGTTCTAGGATAGGTGATAGTCTGGGTTTTCATTATTTAAAATCATGTAACTTTGTTCCTCTACTGTACATAAAATTCTTTACATGTATTTCTAATCACTGATTAGAATTAATAATTTTAAGTCAATCTTATTACAATCCAGTTAAATGCAAAACAAAAACAAAAACAAAATAAAAATTAAAAAAAAAATACAATTACATCAACCCATGAGCCGTCAAGTCTCAGGAGGGGAGAGAACAAAAATCAGAGAGAACAAAAATCCTGGCAAAAGTCAACATCTGTGCATCATTGCTTGCCATCCACTAAAACCTTTGGATAAAGTGTCCAGGGCACTGATTCCTCGGAAAAGCAGATTAATTAACAGGAGCTAAATGACACCAGAATGCTTTTAAGACTATTTGCCAAAAAAAAATTTACTGGGTGGAGACACCTCTCTGCAGATCCTGCCTCTTGGGGTGGGAGAAGTCACCCCAAAGTGTTTCCTCCCCTCTTCCCAGGAGCCCCCAGACATCCCTGCTGCAGGGATGGGTGAGCGTGAGCTCAGCTGCAGAATAAAAATTATTTATTTGGAAAAAAGTAATTGAAATATTGCTTTAGTCCAATTCCTTCAGGCTCCTGTTCTGAGGGTGCTCCCACGCCCTGCACAGCAAAATTCAATTCCAGGCTCTGGTGGGTAAGAAATGCTGGGTCTGCAGCACTCCAGCCTCCAAATTTTCTTCCCCCTGGCACAATTCCCACTGTGGGCAGCTCCCCTGGCATGGCTGGCACAGGTTCCTGCAGGGAATGCTGTGCCCAGCAGGACAGAGCTGCAAAGACACAGAGCATGGGAGCCAAGGGTGGCATTTGGGAAATCTCATTTTCAGACCTGCCCTTCAGCCCAGCCTCTGCACAGGGAGAAAGTGCAGGTTTCTGTGTCATTATTCAGTATTTGAGATTTGGGAAATCTCATTTTTGTTCCTTTGAGGAATCAGAGCTGGCAACGATTCAGACCTGCCCTTCAGCCCAGCCTCTGCATAGGGAAAAGTGCAGGTTTCTGTGTCATTATTCAGTATTTGAGATTTGGGAAATCTCATTTTTGTTCCTTTGAGGAATCAGAGCTGGCAACGATTCAGACCTGCCCTTCAGCCCAGCAAAGGGGAAAAATGCAGATTTGTGTGTCACTGTTCAATATTTGGGAAATCTCATTTTTGTTCCTTTGAGGAATCAGAGCTGGCAACGATTCAGACCTGCCCTTCAGCCCAGCACGGGGGAAAATGCAGATTTGTGTGTCACTGTTCCATATTGCACTGTCCAAGAGGCTCCACCTGTGGAACACCCAGAGCACCTTCCCTGCAGTGGGGGAAGCTCCTCCAGCCTGATTTCCTCAGCAAACCATTCCCACATCTGCTGGGGACTCACAGCCTCGTCCCAGGGTGACCCACGAGCACGCACATTTAGGAAAAAAAAGTCATTTTTCAACATAGCAGCAAAGACCAGCAAGACACAGAACAGTTTCTGCCAACAGCAAAACCACGAGACAAAAGCAAACCCCCAGCAGGTGTGTAAACTGCAGCTCTTGGAAATGAAACATGGGTGAAAAGCTCAGCCCCCAGCTTTAATCCCTTTTTTGGAAATATTAAAAGATTTTTTTTTTTCCTCCAGCTCTCTGAGTTCTGCCTTAGAGAAATCATAATTTATAAAATGCCAGGAAAAAAAAATCTCAATTAATTTAAAAGTAGAACCACTAGTGATTGTCAGACTGCTCAGCAGTGTCTCCTGGAGACAGAGCAGATTTCCACCACTCTTTTACCCTGATTTAAGTGTCAATCTTTCAGAATAATTTACCAAGTCAGGTTTGCATCTGGGAGGAGGAGGGAAGGGCAAGAAAAGTCCTGTCAAGCTTTAGGCAGGGCCTCTTTTGGAGGAGCCATCCCTGGGTGGTGATGAAAGCTCTGCTTTCAGAAGCCTTGGGCAGCTTTTCTGGGGGGAGGTTTTTGTAAAGGAAATTAATTTAGAAGCCCAGAAATGGGCTAAGTGAGAGTTCCCCGAATTCCTGGCTCCCTGTGGAAGGAGAAATTGAGTTTCCCATTCCCACAAACATCCAAAGTCTCTGACAAAGGGAGGTGGGAAAAAGGAAAGATGTGAAAAATCAGAATTAAAAAGACATTTTGAAGGGTCAGTTTTCAGGATGAGCTGTGTGTGTACAGAGACAAAGATGTTCTCTCTTCACATCCACCTTGGATATTTACCCAAAAAGCACAGAACAGCTCAAAAAGCAGCTTCTTACCAGAGGAGAAAATGCTTATTTACAGTAAAAATTGATTTTAAAGCACCTGCCCTAAATCCTGCCAGCAGCAGGGATCCCATAAAAGAGAATTTAACAGAGGAATGGCCCCATGGTCAAATCCAGAGAGGCTGTCTCATTAAATGAGCCACATGAGAGCATGGCTGTGCTCAGCATGCCTTAAAAAATCTTCTTAAACAGCCCTGAAGCTGCCTGAGTTTACTTTCTACAGCCTCGGAGCAGAAAATAGCCAGAAATGAAATCTTGGGGATATCCAACAGCAGAGCTCCTCAGCAGGAGGAGGAGTCAGGGTAAGGATTTCTTTTTGGGGAGCTCCAGGGTGGGTCTCACTCAGTGTCAGGGTAAGGATTTAGTTTTGAAGAGCTCCAGGGTTGGTGTAACTTGCTGTCAAGGGGAAGGATTTATTTTTGGGGAGCTCCAGGGTGGGTCTCACTCAGTGCCATGATAAGGATTTCTTTTTGGGGAGCTCCAGAGTGAGTTTAACTCAGAGTCAGAGTAAGGATTTCTTTTTGGGGAGCTCCAGGGTGGGGTAAGGATTTCTTTTTGTACCATTTCTGGTCTGTTCTCAGACACTCTCACACCTCTGTGCCCACTGTGCTCTGGGAGATCAGACATCTCCAGGTCTCTGTTTTAACAAAAAAGAGAAAGATTTTGCTCAGAAAGGAAGGAGGGATCACAAAGAAGAGCCACGTCCCAGTGGGAGCCAGGATTTCTCTGCTGGAATGGGATAAACAGCCCCTTCAAAAGGGCAAAGCTGACAGAACTGCAGCAATTTTCCTATTTCTGTGGGAATAACTCTTCCAACCTGCAAGCAAGTGCACGTGCAGAGGGAACAGCCACACCTGGCAGCAGGGATGTGACTGAAATGCCCAGGAACCGAGTGCAGCTGGAAAATCATTCTTGGGAAATAAGGAAATAACTGAAGGAAACAACTTTACAAGTTCTGCACAATGAACACATACAGTAGCAAGACTCCAGCACTCCCTTGATAGAATATCTTTAAAAAAACCCTTAAGAAGAACCCAAGAAAGATTGATTTATACTGCCTAGTCAGCAGAAAGTAGCCACAACTTTGTTTTCCTCTAGGAATTGGTTGGATCCTGCTCATTTCCAAGCACTTGTGGGTGCCATGTCTGCTCAGAGCTATGGATGCATCCAAGAACCAGCATTCCAAGGCAGTATCCCAGATACCAGCCAGCAGTCCTTTTGTCCTTGCAAGAGAAAAAGCAGGGCAAAAAAAAAAAAAAATCAAAGTGCTCCTATGCATTGTCAGGAATTTAGAAGTCATGTGAAATACCAGTCCTCCAATCAGCCCAGAGAGAGACACTAATTCCACTGAAGTAGGTGCCACAATGACCAAAGCTCATTAAGATGTGAACACACACCAGCCATTCACAATCCAAAACGAGATGGGCAGGGGAGAAAAACCAAACCTAACGAAAAGATGCCGTCGATTTGCTGATATTTAACAATCCCAGGAGAATCTCTTGTTCATTTTTGTAGGTGTGTAGGAGGGGGTTTGTATTTTTTTTCTATTTTTTTGTCCAGTTTTGTCGATTTTTTTTTTTTTCTTTTCTGCGACACGCTCGCGAACAGGAAGCCGTGACATGCAAGACAGCCAAGCCTCTTCCAACTGAGCATCCCACAACCCACCCCCCCCAAAAAAAACCCCAAAAACAACACCCCACCCTGTGCAGAGTCTTTTGAAGGCACTTCCTCTCACATGATGTCCACGAAGAACTCGCAAGGGTTGCCCATGGCCTTCTGGAAGGACTGGCGGCTCCCGGTGAGCTCGGGCGGCACGGCGCTCAGCTCGCGCACCGGCGGCCCTCCGGGCGGGCCGCTGCTGCCCAGCACCTTGGAGCCCAGTTTGGGCAGGCTGTACAAGGGGGGCACCCCCGGGGGCCCGTAGGAGTGGTGGCTCTGGTGGCTCCTGTCGCTGGCCGAGCGCTGGCTGAGCTGGCTGAGCGGCCGCTCGCGCCGCGCGCCGGGCTCCGACTCGCTGCCGCTGCCCCCGGACTTGCGCTCCTTCTCCCTGCCCGCTGCCCTCCTGCTGGTCTCGCTGGTGCTCCGGTTGGAGCCGCTGCTTTTGCTCCCTGCCAAGCCAAAAAGAGGAGAGGAAAGGATGAGTTGGGGCCCGTGGCGTGCGCCGGCTCAGCGCCGGGGCGGTGCCGCGCGTGGGGACACGGACGCGGCTCCGAGCTTGCACGGTGAAAGCAGCAGCTGGATTGCAGCTCCTGGCTCAAATCCAGCCCAGCAGGAGAGGGGGGGGAGCAGGAAAGGGAGGAAAAAGCAGGAATTTGGGGTTTGACTCAAGCAAATGAGGTTTAATTCCAATTGTCTCTGCTTTATTTTGGACCTCTTCCAAAAAAAAACCACTCTGCCTTCTCTGCCACCTGTAAATCCCTGAGGTTTTGTTGACTTCAGTAGGGAGAAATCCTTTTAAAATTCCCTTTTCCTAAAGAAACCCCTTTGCCTTCTCTGTCACCTGTAAATCCCTGAGGTTTTGTTGACTTCAGTAGGGAGAAATCCTTTTAAAATTCCCTTTTCCTAAAGAAACCCCTTTGCCTTCTCTGTCACCTGTAAATCCCTGAGGTTTTGTTGACTTCAGTAGGGAGAAATCCTTTTAAAATTACCTTTTCCTAAAGAAACCCTTTGCCTTCTCTGCCACCCTTAAATCCCTCAGGTTTTGTTGGCTTCACTGGGGAGACCCTTTTAAAATTCCTCACTAAAGCCTTGTGCTGTTGGAGAATTCCCTAGGAAACACTTCCTGAGCTGCTCTGTCACAAATCAGTAACACCAGGATATTATTCCCAAGAGAGGCCACTAAATCACCTTGGAAATCCAAAGGATTGCCACTGAGTATCAGCTGAGCTGTTAGTAAAAACAAGCTTTACAAAACATCAAAACCTGATTTTTTTAATGGAAACTGAAGATCTTGCTCTGTTCCCATGACAGACAGATTAGGAGACAGTTCCAAGCTAATTATTTTTTTTTAATTCAACTAATCAACCCAAGGAATATCCCATTAAATTCATGCACCTTAGTGCAAGATGGACTTCCCAAAAATGATCCCCAGCCACCAGAACAGGGGACCAGCTTTTGAGTCTAAATGAGTCACAGAAATGGGAAAATAGAATTATTTTGGGCTGCTCCTTCTTGAGCTACAGATGCCCATGACTTTCTGCTGCTCCAGCTGATTGGAGAGATGGGAAACCACACTGGATTTTGGGGGGAAAGGCTGCATTTTCTGCAGAGTGCCAGAGAGATGGAAAACAGACCACAAAACCACTGGATTTTAAGTGAATATTCCAAGCCTGGGTCTCTGCAGTGGTATTTGCTGGTTGTTACGATTTAATAGTGCAGATGAATGAGAGAGGGCACAAAACCCCAAATTTAACATTATTTTGAGAGTGAGCAGTGCAGCCTTGTGCTCCAGCACTCCCAACCCCTGCCTGAGCCACCTGGCCACCAATTAATGGGCAGTGCAAGGGCACTGGCAGAGAAATCCAGCCCAGAGGGGTGCCACCATAAAAAATTTGGACTATTTATTTTCTGGAGAGCCTGGGGATGGGGTTTTCCCACCTGATTTTCCCTCCCCTCTGAGCTGCTGCAGCACAGTCCCACAGGTTGATATGCCAATGTGCACTGAGACGTTGTCCAAGACAATTCAAAATAAAAATAAAATTTCAAATTAAAAACAAAACCAAAACCAAAATACAGCTAAACATTTGGGTCACGAGAATCTAAAAATGATCATGCTGTGAATTCATCATGGAGGAATTTGAGGCTTACCAATCCCCTAGAGTCAGCCATTCCTCTAGGAATCCTTCAGTCTAATGCTTGCTCAGGACAAAACAAGGGAATAACAGTTACAAAGCAAGAAACAGCACAGAAGTTGTTTTCCACCAGGGAAAGAGTGGAAACCTTTCAGAGCTGAACACCCTGGCACTTTTTGGGAGTGACACCTTTCCTTTCCTATTCCAGCAGCAGGGAGAGAATTCCTACTGCTCACAGAAGCAGCTGCCAAAAACCACCCCCATGTTCTGTCCAGGAAAATCAGTTTCCAGCTCTAAAACCTCTGTGAGATTCCTCATGGATATTTCTTATTTTGGGATAAGGTGACATGCAGCTAGGCTAAAATCCTGTGTTATGAAACCCTTTTGTGCCATTTTGTAAAATCTGACTGGCTGTGGGGAATAGGGATAAGTGACATCCAATTTATTGGATGCTCACTGAAAACCACAAGGAATCCTCACCCCTTCTTTACTGGCAGCACTTCCAAAAGCAAAACTCACTCTGGGAGTGATTTAAAAAAAAAAAAAAGAAATTTAAAAAATAGTGTCTATACAGCCAAAAAAGAAAAAGACATGATTTTATTTACTAAGGTTAAAAATGAATCTAGGGAAGAAAAGGAGGAGGGCAGGTCTTGAATCCATGCAGAATTCTCTTCCTGTCCCTGTCCACATGCCAGCAGAGACTCTCCTCTCTGGGAGCAGTGTTTCAGCCCTGGAAAGCCCTGGCTGGCCACCTCCCACTTAGAAAAAAATGGGATTTTCCTTTTGTGCTGAGCACTGACATAAAAGCCAAGAGCACCTTGGTCCTAAGCCCTGTCCCAGCAGCACAGAAACTGCCTCATTTCCAGCAAGCCCACCCCCACAGCTGGCAATCCCTGACTGGGTTAAGCCTGGCAGTTCCCACAGAGAGCTGAAAGCCAAACCCCCTCCTCCAGAGCCACAAACACCTTTAATTCATTGCACACAATCCATGCAGGGAGCAACCAAAACCACGAGACAAGCACGGACAGCACCAAGGAACTGAAGCAGATGGCGGGGGATAATGGGAACGGTGGAATTCAAACCCTTTCATCCCATCTTACCTTCACTCTGCTGGCTGCCTGCACTGCCACTGCCATAGCTAAAGCCTGGGTCTTGGTAGGCTGGTGGGAAACAAGGAGGGGGCAGAGGATACTGGTAGGGATATCCTTGGCCCAAGGGCCAGGGAGCAGCAGGGTGTGGCAGGGGAGCCAGCGTGTCCTGGTCCGAGGCGCCGCTGGAACCGTTGTTGAGATTCAGTGCAGCCAGATCTGGGAAAGAAAAAAGGGGAAAGTTTCTTACCCAGCAGGTAAAATGATCACTGTGAATTTATTTATGGAGGGATTTGAAGCTTAGCAACGCCCTGGAATCAGCCTTCTCACCCAGCAGTGAGAGGGGAGAAAAGGGTGAGGACAGGGTGGGAACATCCCCCTTTTCCAGGCTGGAAACTGAGTGGGACTGACAGCAGGGAATGTGGAGGCTGATGTAGAACAGACTAGACAAAGTTAAAGAATAAAGCAGGGATTTATGAAAAGGATCTCCTCCATGGATCCATCTTGGGCAGCACAAGAGCCCAGCCAGGGCTGAACCCAAGGTGAACCAAAATGGTCCCAGAATGAACCCAAGAGGAACCAAAATGGTCCCAAAATGAACCAAAATGGTCCCAAAATTAACCCAAGAGGAACCCAAATGGTCCCAAAATTAACCCAAGAGGAACCCAAATGGTCCCAAAATGCACGACCACTCATGGGGTCTCTCACTTTCACAAGTTCTGCTCCATTTTCATATTGGAGTTAATTGTCCAATTATTCATAATTCATTAATAATTCATAATTAATTTGTAAGCTTTAGCTGATGGAGTCCCATCCTTCTTTTTCACTCTCCAGCCCACGCTGTTTGTGCTCTTGGGCTGAGATTTGGATCATTTGTCCTTGGTCCCCAGCTGGAGCAGGAATTGTTTTGTCTCCCTGCTCTGTGCACAGAGCTCAGCAACACTTAATGTGAAGCTCAGAACTGCACACTAAAGCAACACAGAATGTGAAAAATAGAAAAGCTAAACCTGAGGGATCAGTACAGAATGTGAAAAATAGAAAAGCTAAACCTGAGGGATCAGTACAGAATGTGAAAAATAGAAAAGCTAAACCTGAGACATCAGCACAGAACCTGGAAAACAGAAAAGCTAAAGCCTATGGCATCAGTGTGGCAGCACCAGAAATGAATCCTGCTGCCCTCAGAGCTCTCCTTGATGGGCTCATCCTCCCCCAGGAGCTCTCCTTGCTCCCAGGGAGCACCAGCCCCTTGTCACACAATGTCAGGGTGATGAAGGCCTCCCCTGTTCTGGGACACTCCTTTGAAACCCCAGGAGAGGCAGGGATGGAAGGGACCTCTGGAGATGCCCCTGTCCAATCCTGGAGCAGGTGACACAGAAATGTGTCCTGCTGGGTTTGGAATACCTCCAGAGAGACTCCACCTCCCCTGGGCAGCTCCAGAGCTCTGCCACCCTCATGGAAATCCTTCCTCACGAAACTCTTCATCATGAGGGGACACACACAAGGGGACAATGAGCACCCTCGAGGCACAGAAGTGACACAGGGACAGCTCTGTCCTTCCCAGTGGGGACTCACTGCCACAGAGGTCTCCGAAGACGTAGTAGCACTGCTCTGAGAAGGTGATTTTGTTCACAGTGTGCCTGAGGTAGCCGTGTTTCAGCATGCTGCTGGCATATTTCCTGGCCTCCCGGCGGTCCTTGAAGCCTTCCACGTGTGTGTAAAGCCAGTCCACCACATCTGCTCCTGAAATGGGGACAGCAAGAGGAGACACGGGGTTATCTGGGCCAAACTGTGCCAGCTGAACATCTAAAATGGGGTTACCTGGGCCAAACTGTGCCAGCTGATCATCTAAAATGGGATAATCTGGGCCAAACTGTGCCAGCTGAACATCTAAAATGGGGTTACCTGGGCCAAACTGTGCCAGCTGAACATCTAAAATGGGATAATCTGGGCCAAACTGTGCCAGCTGAACATCTACAGTGGGGTTATCTGAGCCAAACTGTGCCAGCTGAACATCTAAAATGGGATAATCTCAGCCAAACGGTGCCAGCTGAATATCTAAAATCACATTATCTGAGCCAAACTGTACCAGCTGAACCTAAAACAGAATTATCTGAGCCAAACTGTGCCAGCTGAACATCTAAAATGGGATAATCTCAGCCAAACTGTGGCAGCTGAACACCTAAAATGAGATTATCTGTGCCAAGCTGTGCCAGCTGAACACTAAATGGACACAAGAGTTATTTCCTGCCCATAAATAGAATATAAGAAGATTATCCGTGCCAGACTGTGCCAGCTGAACACCTAAAATGAGATTATCTAAACCAAGCTGTGCCAGCTGAACACTACATGGACACAAGAGTTATTTCCTGCCCATAAATGGAATATAAGAGCTCACAGACATGAAAAAAGCTCATTAAAAGGTAGTTTTTTGAACCTGTTCCCATTAAATCACTGTTTTTTTTCCTCTCAGCATTCCTGGGGTCTGCTTACCTATCACTGCGTTGGAGATGGTGATTTTTAACCACATCCTGTCCCGAATTTCAAGGCCTGAGTCTGGCAGCTGCATGACCTTGACAATAGTAGCCATGTCACTCTTCACAGTTAGGGGAGATTCTTCTAATTCTAAAAGGAAGAGAGGCCACAGGCTGCTGTGAAATGAGTTCAGGCTGAAGGAACTTCTCAGCTCCCAGTTTGGATGAAATAAAAATACAGTTTCATCAACAGATACAAAAAAATGAAATAAAATAAATAAAATAAAATAAAAAATATAAAATATAAAAATTAGAATAAAATAGAATAAATACAATAAAATATAAAATAAAATAAATGACATATTAAAAATAAAATAAAATAGAATGAAATAAATAAAATAAAATAAAATAAAATAAAATAAAATAAATACACAGAGGTTCCCAAATGCACCCTCATCCACAGAGTGAATTACAGCATTTGCAGCATTTTTTCACATTTTGGGCTCAAGGCCACCAGTTTAGTGACAGAAATGCTGAGTCCCCATGTCTGGGCTTCCCAGAGCAGCTGCAGGATCCTCTCTGCATCCAGACTGGCAGGAAAGGAAACCCAAAGGTTTTTGTGATCCATCATTTTCCATTTCAGTTTCCCAGGAACAGCCCCATGGAGAACCATGGGGGAAGTTTTTGGGGTTTGTTCTTTTGGGGTTCACTGTCAGGAGTCCCCCCAATCTCCATGGACCAAGGGTGACCATGGCTCAACCCATGTCCAGTTTTTATTTAAAGATCTGGACACTCGTGGGGAAAATTAAATGATAAAAGAAATCTTCCCACATCAGAAGAAATCAGGGATTTTCTTATAAAAAACCCTTCCCAGGGTATCCTCACAACCCACTCCTCCCAGGATTGCTTTGCCCTCAATTTTTTTATGGAACACTTTAAAAAAACCTCCCAAACGCCTCCACAGCCCTTCCCAGGTCACACATTTATGGGCAGAACTGGAGCCCCAGAGGTTTCACACTTTCCTGATCAATTTTTACAATAAAATCAGAACAGGCTTGAGGTTGAATTTGTCAAATCCTCCTTCCTTTCCCATCTTCCATCCCTAGAAATCTCATTTTTATCTCTGTTTGTAGCCCAGACCCTTCTCCAGCAGGAATTCCAAAACCCTCCTCTCCTCCCCTCCCAGTTCCCCACATCACCCACCTTTCAAAAGCACTTTTGTCCTTTTCCAGCCAACCCAAAATTTTGGATAAAAAAAGGTACAGCAAGCGTGAAACAATGAAAACTGGAAATGTTTCTTTCCATACATGCACTGCCAATATGCATGAAAACATCCCAGACCAGCTCTGCATGCAGCTTCAATACTTACAAACCTCAAATAAACACTAAAACTTTGCTTTTGCTTTAAGTTAGTTTGGTTAGTGGCAAAAAGCAACATGTCTGGGGAAAAAAAAATACACCAACAAACTAATATTGGGGAGCAATAAATTGTATTTTCTTGGAGACCTGAGATCTGCATATGAACAGAAAATTGATATTTTCTAAGTTCTGGTTGCTGCACGAATATGGCAAATTCTGAGATGCATCTGAAATGCTCCCATTTTGGCCTGAATTCAGTCAGCTTTAAAAATTCACCTAACCCAGGTCAGGGCAGGTCACAGGGCTGAGCTGAAGGAAGAGATCACAATAAAAACCAGGGGTACCCTTTATTCCCTTGCATTCCAGAAAGGAAATATTTCAAATCACCGGCACAGGAACGAGAAGCTGCCTCCAGAAATGTGGTTCTGCTCCCAAACACATTTATTTTCAAAGTCTGACTGAGAGGCTGCCTGTTCCCCACTTGCCAAGCCCAGCACTATCATGAGTTCATCATGAATTGTTCAAGAGGAACGCTGAGCACAGACTTGTTGGGCAGCAATCAGCAGAGACACTGGGTTCCAGCAGGACCTGTAAGGCTCAAAACACATCTCAGGATAAAGCAGCCAGCAGGAAAAGGGTTCGTTTGCTTCCTGCTGCAGATTATTTCCCCTCAGTGGTGCTGCCTGATGTCTGAAAAGACCTACATAAAAAAGAAAACTTGGCCTTTGCCTTCAAGGTGAGGTGGAATATATATTATAAAATCTAAGGTGCTTTATAACCAACACCACAGAGGTCTTTAAAATCCTCAAAGTGTCATTCTCAGTTAAATAAAAGGAAGAATTAATATTCCTTAAACAAATTTTCCAAGATAAGGAGTTGGAGAATGGTGTTAGTAACACCAACATTTGATCCCTGTCTGGGCCATTCACTTAGATCTGGACTCAATGATTGGATCCCTTCCAACTAAAAAGATTCTGTGATTTGAGTGCTCTGAGAAGCTTTTGAATTAAAGAAACCTCTCTGAATCATGGCAACTTCTTGGTTTCATGGATATGGCTCTTTCAGACTGCCAAACCAGGAAAAAGGTTGAAATCTAACCATCATTTCATGTGGGATGTTAAATTTTGGTTCAGCTTGCTCAATAAATCCTAGGAATATTAAAAAGCACAAAAAAGTATAAAAGAAGGCCACGGGAATATCAGGGAAGGGTTTCCCAAATGAAACACTAATGTTATTGTTGAAATTTATTAAAAACCAATCAAATGCAAGAAGGCAGCTCTCTCATCCACCTGAGTGGAAAAACCTGAACCTATCTTTAAAATCCAACCTCTTGGTTTCATGGATATGGCTCTTCCAGTCTGCCAAACCAGGAAAAAGGTTGAAATATAACCCTAATTTCATGTGGGATGTTACATTTTGGTTTAGCTTGCTCAATAAATTCTAGGAATACAAAAAAACAACAAAAAGGATGTAAAAGTATAAAAGAAGGCCACGTGAATATCAGGGAAGGATTTCCCAAATGAAACACGAACATTATTGTTGAAATTTATTAAAAACCAACCAAACGCCCCCGAGTGGAAAAACCTGAACCTATCATTAAAATCCACCAGCAACCACTTCTCCCTGAGACAAAACCCTGACCAAACACCTCCACATCAACCTCCAACCTTCGCCAAAAGTTCTCCTGCTTTCCCCAAGCGTGAGAAACCACTCAAGGCCTGGCTGGCGCCGCCGCTGTCACTGTGCCCGTGGCCGGGCCCTGGTGGCCCCGAGCAGCCCCCTGCCCTGGGCTGGCCAGGGGGTGACTTACTTTCCGACTCGGGAATTGAGCTTGTTAGTGAGGAGCTGGTAGATGTGGTGATGCTCATGGAGGGGCTCATACCGTAACGGGGGTACGCTCCCGTCATGGCCGTGGTATGAGAGATCCACGCCGCGGGGTCGATCGGCCGCACCGGCTCAGCTGCGAGCAAAAGGTACAGGAGACGGGGTCAGAAATGTGGGAAACACCGAGGTTTTGAGAGATCTGAGGGGTTTTATCCTGTTTTTTTGTTGTTTCTTTGGTTTTCTGAGGGGTTCATGTGAGTGAGGTGCCATAGTCGGCATCACAAAAAAGGGATGGAAAATGGGGTCAGAAATGCAGCAAAACACCAAGGTTTTGAGAGATCTGAGGGGTTTTCTCTGGTTTTCTTGTTGTTTCTCTGGTTTTCTGAGGGGTTCATGTGAGTGAGGTGCCATAGCTGGCACCATCACAAAGGCCCAGAAAACAGGGTGAAGACTTGCAGCAAACACCAAGGTTTTGAGAGATCTGAGGGGTTTTCTCTGGTTTTCTTGTTGTTTCTCTGGTTTTCTGAGGGGTTCATGTGAGTGAGGTGCCATAGCTGGCACCACCACAAAGGCCCAGAAAACAGGGTGAAGACTTGCAGCAAACACCAAGGTTTTGAGAGATCTGAGGGGGTTTCTCTGGTTTTCTGAGGGGCTCATGTGAGTGAGGTGCCACAGTCTGCACCACCACAAAGGCCCAGAAAACAGGGGGAAGACTTGCAGCAAACACCAAGGTTTTGAGAGATCTGAGGGGGTTTCTCTGGTTTTCTGAGGGGCTCATGTGAGTGAGGTGCCACAGTCTGCACCACCACAAAGGCCCAGAAAACAGGGGGAAGACTTGCAGCAAACACCAAGGTTTTGAGAGATCTGAGGGGGTTTCTCTGGTTTTCTGAGGGGCTCATGTGAGTGAGGTGCCATAGTTGGCACCATCACAAAGGGATGGAAAATGGGGTCAAAACTTGCAGCAAACCACCAAGGTTTTGAGAGATCTGAGGGGTTTCATCGTGTTTTCTTGTTGTTTCTCTGGTTTTTTGATGGTTTCATGTGAGTGAGGTGCCACAGTCTGCACCACCACACAGGCCCAGAAAACAGTGTGAAAACTTGCAGCAAACACCGAGGTTTTGAGAGATCTGAGGGGGTTCCTCGTGTTTTCTTGTTGTTTCTCTGGTTTTTTGATGATTTCATGTGAGTGAGGTGCCACAGTCTGCACCACCACACAGGCCCAGAAAACAGTGTGAAAACTTGCAGCAAACACCGAGGTTTTGAGAGATCTGAGGGGTTTTCTCTGGTTTTCTTGTTGTTTCTTTCTCTGGTTTTCTGAGGGTTTCATGTGAGTGAGGTGTCACAGTCTGCACCACCACAAGAGGACAGAAAATGAGGTCAAAACTTGGATGAAACATCAAGACTCTGAAAGATCTGAAGGGTTTTCTTGTGTTTTCTTGCTGTTTCTCTAGTTTTCTGAGGGCTTCATATGAATGAGGTCCTGTAGTTGGCACCACCATGAAGGGACAGCAAAACAGGCTTAGACATGCAGTAAATGCCAAGATTTTGAGTGATCTGAGGAGTTTTCTCTTGGTTATACTGGTTTTAATAAGGGTTTCACAGGAGTGAGGTCCCATAGTCTGCACCACCACAAAGACCCAGAAAACAGGGTCAGAAATGTAGGAAACACCAAGGTTTTGAGAGATCTGAGAGGTTTTCTCTTGTTTTCTTGTTGTTTCTCTGGTTTTCTGAGGGTTTCACATGAGTGAGATGCTACAGATTGTACAAAGGGACAGCAAACGGGGTCAGAAATGCAGCAAACACCAAGATTTGGAGAGATCTGAGACGTTTTCTCTTGGTTATACTGGTTTTACTAAGGGTTTCAATGGAGTGAGGTCCTGTAGTCTGCACCAGGGAAAAGGCACAAAAAATGGGGTCAGACTTGCAGAAAAAACCAAAATTTTGAAAGATCTGAGCGGTTTTCTTTTGTTCTCCAGTTGCTTCTCTGGTTTTCCTAAGGGTTTCAAGGGGGCTCCCACAGTCTGCTGCATTTATTCCAGCCTTATCTTCAATGCCACTCTCATCTTCTGTGGACTGGGAATAAACTGGTTCCAGCAGCACCAGCACAGCCCTCACCAGCAGGAGGCAGCTGTGTTTGTCACATGAGCACACATCTTTTACTGCTACTGAAAATAAGGTAATTTTCTTTTTTTTTACGTGGATCACTGCTGCTTCCATCACATATTCAAAACACACAGGTCTCTCTAAAAAGTTCACTGTCAGAAAATTAGGATTTTTAACATTTGGAATAATTATTTCCAAACCTTTTATGAATTGAAAAGTTAAGATCACGTCCCAGAAGTTTAGGAGCTGGATCCAAAGATGTAAACCAAGAGAAAAATTCCCAGGAATTCAGTGGGCAGTGGAACCCCAGGCTCCCAATACAGAAGTAAACAAATAAAAGAACTGAATGTGTAGAATCTGTTAGGTGCCAAAATAGGTGAAAATATTTCATATCTTGGGGGCTTCCCAGGAACCCAGCAAAGAGCCCAAATGTGTACTCACCCCTGGGGATGGTGAAATAACTCCTGGGAGTAGGGTCCCAGCATTTGGCTACTGTTAGGCTGATAGGTCTAGGAAGAAAGAAAACAGGTTAAGGATGATTCTTAAATTTCTACAGAGCTGGAAATGCTACAAGAACTATTTGAAACAAATTTATTCCTATCCAGCAGTTGTCAAGTACATTCTGAGAATGGTTTTGAGAAGCTTTATAGTATTTTCAGTATGAATGGCTTTGAGAAGCTTCGTAATATTTTCAGTATGAAGCACATCAGGTTTTGCAAAAATGATGAGCACTGGTGGTGAAATCTGTTGGATGATCAGCTCTTGAGATATTAAAATTCTCATCACATAAACAAACAGCCCTGCTGAAAGCAGGCAACTCCTCAATTCCTGTTGGTTTTGGCCAGAACCAACCTCTCCTATTCATCATTTGCTCTGAGAAGTTCACAGCTGAGATCAGGCATGCTGATGGATATCAGAATGTTGATTTCTCTGAGGTTTTCCCAGCTCCAACAATTGCACATGGAGGATAAATAGGAAGAGGTTTTGTGATGTGCTCACCCTGGCTTGGAGACGATTTCCCGTAGAACCCGAACGGCATCGTCATTGCTCATGTTCTCAAAATTGACATCATTCACCTGAAACAGTGCAGAGAGCAGAGGTCAGCCTTTGCAGCAGCAAAGTTAAAGGTGTTTTAATTACTTCATTAATCCCCCGATTTATCTGCCTGGTCACCACTTCCATTCCACCATTTAACTTCACTCCTTTGAAATGTCATTTCTCGTAGCATCTCACCAAGAATCACCAATTTCAGCGATCTTTGGGCCACGTTTCTCTGAGGATGAATAAATTCCTTTCCCTGGTGACTGCAGCCCGTGGGGCTGGTGGCATGGCAGAGCAGAGCAGCAGGATTTGGGGACAGGGACCCACCTGCAGCAGCATGTCCCCCGGCTCGATGCGCCCGTCCGCTGCCACCGCCCCTCCTTTCATGATGGAGCCGATGTAGATGCCACCATCACCCCGGTCATTGCTCTGCCCCACAATGCTGATTCCCAGGAAGTTGTACTTTTCTAGATGGACACAAAGTGGAGGGTGGGGAAGGGGGAAAAAAAAAGCAGACAAAGTGATTGGAATGATAGCAAAGAGCGAGGCTGTTTCAGCTTTGAAACCTCTCAGCACATCAGCGGGGCAAGGTTTGACTTGCAATGATCTCAGGCTGCTCTAATGATGAATATTTGCCTGGCACCTTCAGGGAAAGGCTGCTAAAGACAGGATTTTTTCATTCAAGACAGTGTTACTTAAAAAAAAATAGCAAGAGAAAGAACACTGAAAAGACTTGTCCACACCTGGAAATTAGCACTGATCACATTAAGCAATGTTTGTTCCACATGTCAGAGAGGCAGGAAGGGTTTGGTGCTGCTGAAAGGTGCTGAATTTGCTGGCAGCCCTGCACATTTCTGCCTGGCTGACAAATGAAACACAGGAACAGCAGAAATGCAAACCCCCAGTGCCCTTCTACCCCAATCCCTCACCATTAACTCCTGCAGTTCCAGCTCCTTCCGTGGAAGGAACACTGATCTGCTGGTGAAAATGGCCCAGTTCCGGATTAGGAAACCAGATAAATACAAAATACATCTCTACCACTCAAAATTCATCACAAAAAACGTGGCTTGTCCTCTTACCCATGTTGAGTGTGACAGTGATGATGTTTAGAGACATGGTGGAGTCAGTGATGCTGCTGAACGAGGACGACTGCAAAACACAACAGAAAAAGTCTCAAGGTTTTAAATGGCTCAGAGTAAGAACTGCTGAGGATTAACTCATCAGGAACTGATTAAGAAGTTTCTAATTGAAAGGCAGCCAGAAATTATTGAGGCTTCCTCAAAATTATGCTTCATTTAGAAACTTTCAGGAAAGAAATCTAAGCAGAGTCTGCACTTTCTCCAAAGGTCTGATCACAAAACACACAGAGCACGTTCCTATACTGAGCTTTCTCAGTTGAACTTCACCTGGAATTATTTCTGCTTCCTGGCTGTGACTTACAGGCAAACCCTGGATCCTAAAGTGTCCAGTGGAATGTGAATTATTGCACCCACAGCTCCTCCCTAAAGGGAGGAGTGAACAGCACATGATCCAGCAGGAAGTGAGAGGAGAGACACTGCCCTACCTCCAAAATTAAATACAAAGGTGCTTATCAAAGACCTTCTAAAACACTATCCTGTGGTAAAATGTGTGTGAGGTCATTCTTTAATGTGTGGAGACAGATTTATGGGAGAATAAAACAGGGACTTCAGGGTCTGTCCGTGGGGTCAGCCTCATCCTGCTGCCAAGGACTGGCACAGGAAAGGGCAAAGATTTGGGATTTCCTATGAACTTGGATTTCTCCTTCCAGCAGAATGCTGGTCTCAGGGTATCTCCCACCCCTTCTCACACCATAATGGAGCTGCTCCTCCAGAGATTGGTCTTGGAAAAGACAAGAAATGGGATTCACTGCACAGTGAAAGGAGAAAGGGAGAGGTGAAAACTTCACTTGGAGCCGCAGAACTTCAAATGCAGAGATTTAGCCCAGCCTGGAGCCACAAGGAGCCTTCCCAGTGAATTCAACAGGCACAGACCTGTCCTGGATCCCTTCCTGAGTCAACAGCTCCACTCAAAAGTGCCAGTTCACCTCCCTGGGTGATGCTGGTGCCAGCCTTACCCTGTCAATCTGCCGCATCCTCTGTTTCCTCCTCCGGCGCTTGTGCTTGCGGATGAGCCGGGACGAGGTGCTCTGCTCCGTGGAGCTGCTCAACCTGAGGGCAAGGACAGCAAATGTCACCCCTGCAAGGCTCTGCCACCTGCAAGAGCTGATTCCTGCAGCAGCAGGACAGGGGGAAGCACACAGACAGCACAGGAGAGGATTCCAGCTGAAGGACAGCAGGGGTCAGATGAATAATTTAATTATTATTTAATTTAGCACTTGTTTTCTTCTGCAGGTCTGAGTGCAACCCTTAATGCTCATTTTTGTGAGTCCTGTCATGGTGCTGTATTTTCTTCCACTGTTACCAGGAATTCAAGGCTTGAATTTAAAGAAATCAAATAGAAATTGGTAACAGGGGGAGAGTGAATATGATTTACCTTCACACATTCTCTTGAGTTTTATTTTGCTGTTTTTTCCAGGCTCTCCAAACTTGTAGAACCTAAATGTGTCACATTTTACATATAAATCTTTAAGGTCTTTAAGACTTTGGAGCATTAGTCATCCTCACTTTGCAGAGAGTAGAATGAGACAGAAATGGATTTGCCCAAATTAATTTCAGGAGCCTGGAACAAAGCCCAGATTATTAAGATACCACTAGAACACCAGAGAGACATCTCTCCTCTATTTAATATGTAAAAATGGCCAAAAAAAAAAAAAAAAAAAAAAGACAAAGCAATGCTCCATCATTAACCAAGATTAAAAAAAATCCAACGTTATACAACACAAAACAAACAGTGCCAGGCTTTCCCCCAGTTTCCACAACCCTGCCTTCCATGCTCCAGCCACATGCAGGAATGTGAGAATACCTCAAAAACTTGATGCCAGCAATTCCAAAAGGGAATTGCTCACAGGAAACCCCTCTGGCTTGAAATATTTTTATCAAGTATCAGCCCTGGAGCTGCTCAGAGGGTGTGAATCTCCTGACATTCCCTCGAGTTCACACAACTATTTCAGGCACGTTAACCTCACACACTCCTCCTTCCCCTCCCAGCAAGGGAACTGAAGAGCCAAGAGGTGGGATTTTACAACAAAAAAAAGATCCAAAATGTGATAATTCCTGGTGGGTGGAACAGCTCACACAGCACCTGGGGTTGGGAGGTTTTGCCTTCCAACTGGAAAAATAAGGAGGTGCCAAACGCAGGGCTCCCAAAACTGGGCTTGTTCAATATTCATCAAAGATTGACACAAAAACCTCCTCTTTTATTTTGCTGTCAATATTCTCCCCCTTCCTGCTTCTTCTCCCATTTCCTTCTCCTCTTCCCTCACCAGAGGATTCAGCTAGAACTTCCCAGTTTGGGAGAATCTGAGGAAAGTCAAGGCACTCACTCCACAGTGAAGCTGCCTGCTCTCTAAAAGTGCATTTTTCTCTCAAATTAAACCAGCAAAACCAGACTTTCCTGGCAAATCTCTGAGCTCCTGTTAGCAGGTGATAACATGTGAGAAGTGAAGTTTTTCTTGGTGAATTTTTGCCATTCTGCTCGGTATTAGGATGGAAGGATGAGAATCAGCTCCTGAGAAAAGCTCCGGTTAATTTAGGGGGACACAAAACATTTCAGGGAAAAATTAAAAGTTAAAACAGCCTCTCACAGCAGCAGCACAAAACTGATGATCAGAAGGCTCTGCAGGAACATTTTTACACCTCTTTTCATGTAGCTGTGGCACATTCCATCATCTCTCCTTGTGATTTCTGCTCAATCCACAGCCTTAATGCATCCTTGCTGAATCCTTAATATTCTGGGAGCATCTGGATGCTAAAAAGCAGCTCAAACCTACTCTAATGAGGAATGTTTTGCTCTCTGAAGCAGCTCCAGAAATACTGGGTAGAAGTTGTTATTATTACCATGTGATGAGCAAGACAAGATGGTAAATTTGAGCTTTTGAGACAAATAAAGTGCAAAGATGAAAAACAAATCTGGAACTATCACTACCAATTAATTTCCTGCACCAGCTACTGCTCAAAACCCTGACTGCACTTCCAGCACAAATGCCAATAAATACCACAGAAAATATTTTTTAAAATACTATAATAATAATAACAATAGCAATAATTTTTTCTCCATTCTACAATTCCCAAAGGACAGGGGAAAAAAGGCAACATTTATTAAAGAAATCTTATCCACATGGCTTCAAAAGAAATTATGGTAATTTCTTAAATGAGAAATAAACAATTTTTTTGCAGTGAATTCCTTTAGTTGCATTGACTGAGAGCAGCAATTGCTGACAATAATCCTCCAGCTACAGATGTCAGATTTGTTAGACCTTTAGAGAAGACAGAAAAAAAGCTTTTACTGTGATGTTGCCTACATCAACCTGTGCTCAAAATCCTACCTGCAAACAACAGAAACATTCAATTTGTAAAAAATTTGTTAAAAAATTAGTAAAAAAATTGTCAAACAGTGTTGAATAAAAAGGAAATAAATGATTGTGCTGCCACTGTCACTCTGGAATGTCTGTGAGCAGGTTAATTCACCAAAACATGGCATTATTCTTTAACTGAATGCAGCAGAACTTCCTTGGGCTGGGAATTACCCAGCTCTGTTCCACTGCTCCCATTCCAATAAAACCAATCCAAAGAAGAGCCAGAAAAGCATCCTCACCTCACAAACTCTCCCCTTCCAGGACAGCAAGGTCCCTTCCCTCTGATTTCCTGCCTCAGTGCCTCCTCCCTGACAGCCTCCCCACAAAGCAGCTCCTGCAGCAGAACCCACCAGCTGCCAGGAGCCAAAGTGCCCCCTCAGACCCCTCTGTCCCCAGGGATTGTATCCAGGAGCCAAAGTCACCCCTCAGACCCCTCTGTCCCCAGGGGATGTGTCCAGGAGCCAAAGTCCCCCCTCAGACCCCTCTGTCCCCAGGGGATGTGTCCAGGAGCCAAAGTCCCCCCTCAGACCCCTCGGTCCCCAGGGATTGTGTCCAGGAGCCAAAGTCCCCCCTCAGTCCCCTCTGTCCCCAGGGGATGTGTCCAGGAGCCAAAGTCCCCCCTCAGACCCCCCTGTCCCCAGGGGATGTGTCCAGGAGCCAAAGTCCCCCCTCAGACCCCTCGGTCCCCAGGGATTGTGTCCAGGAGCCAAAGTCCCCCCTCAGTCCCCTCTGTCCCCAGGGGATGTGTCCAGGAGCCAAAGTCCCCCCTCAGACCCCTCTGTGCCCAGCTGATGTGTCCCTCAGGAACCAAACCCTCTGTCCCCACACTGATGTGTCCATCAGGACCCAAATTCACCCCTCAGACCCCTCTGTCCCCAGGAGATGTGTCCATCAGCTGTCACAAACCAAACTCGCCCCTCAGACCCCCCCTCTGTCCCCAAGGGATGTGTCCCTCAGGACGCAAACCTTCTGTCCCCAAGGGATGTGTCCCTCAGGACGCAAACCTTCTGTCCCCAAGGGATGTGTCCCTCAGGACGCAAACCTTCTGTCCCCAAGGGATGTGTCCCTCAGGACGCAAACCTTCTGTCCCCAAGGGATGTGTCCCTCAGGACCCAACCCCTCTGTCCCCACACTCGCGTGTCCCTCAAGACCCAAACTCACTCCCCAGACCCCTCTGCCCCAGGGGATGTGTCCACCAGGGACCAAACCCTCTGCCCCCAGGGGATGTGTCCCTCAGGACCCAAACCCTCTGTCCCCACACTGGCGTGTCCCTCAAGACCCAAACTCACCCCTCAGACCCTCTGTCCCCAGGGGATGTGTCCCTCAGGACCCAAACCCTCTGTCCCCACACTGACGTGTCCCTCAGGACCCAAACTCACCCCTCAGACCCCTCCTCTGTCCCCAGGCTGATGCCTCCAGCAGCTCTGGAACCTTCTCCATTTGCTCTTTGCCTGATTTGCCTCTACAGAAAACTTCTCCCTGCCAGCACAAAGTCTCCCGTGCCTGAGAACATCATCCCTGGAACACAACAGCATACCTTGGAGCATTCCTTCGAGTGGTTCTTCCTGACTAGCTGGCCTGGCAGCTCCTCCTGTGCCAAAAACTCCTGCCCAATCTCCAGAGGGAAAGGCAGGAGCAGCAGCTTCCAAGAATCTCTTTCTTCTCAGGTCAGACTCAGGAAGTTTTATTATTATTTTATTCAGACACAAAGACTTCGCTGGGTCTGCTCTAATGTGGTCACCCTGAGCTAATCCTGCCCCACTGCATTGCTGCCAGGGAAACTGTTCATTTATTTACCCCAAGAAGAATAAGAAACACAAATCAGCTGCAGGGTTTTGTTGTTGCTGTGGGCTCAAAGCCCTGAAGGCTTTGGTGCATTCAGGGTTAAGGACCAACCCTCCACGCAGGTAAATACCCAGAAAGGTGATTTTTTATATCTCATCATGGAATGGTTTGGGTTGGAAGGGGCCTTAAACTCATCTTATTCCAACCCCTGCCATGTGCAGGGACACTTTGCACTTCACTGGGACTGCAAAGTAAGTTCTTGAAAACAATTCAGGACCAAATCTCCAACGTGAATTTTAGTTACCATTTCTTTCAGCCCTCTGGAAACAGCCTTTAATCAGAATTGTGAGGTCTGTAAACCCTGACCAACTGCAAGACCCAACAGATCCACCAAGATCCATACACTGATCATGTCTGTGAACACAGCAAGGGGTTCAGGATCTCCAGGAGTAGTTGCTTTTTGCTGGTTTTATTAAAAATCTCATGTTCTGCCTTTTTATCTGCAGATCCCTGTGACCCACCAGAGATCTGTCACCCTGTTGTCCTCTGACAAATCCATACTGGATTTTCAGAGTCCACTGGGATGAACAACAGCTCTAGAGCCAATGGCCAGGAAAATGAAGACTATTCCAGAGAATGTGGCCAGGAAAAAGGAAGGAAAATACTTTAAATTGGTTTTACATCCATGAAAATAAGTATTTTGAAGCCATGAAATGTATTGGCTTAAAGACTTCCTAAAGAAAAACAAAAATATCTTTAGATATAACAAAGATGCCTTGAAATGAGAGGTATTTTTCAAGTAGGGAATAATTCACACACTCTGCCTACACAGAAAGAAAGAAATAATGAAGAAGCCACAAATCCATGGCAGCCCAGGCTGCCTTTGCACCAGCATTAACTTTGATGAATTCCTGAACTGCTCATAGGTCTCAGACTATGCAATTACCCAGGAATTCCTCTATAATTGAGCCCCAGTGAAGTGCACACTTATTAGGAATCTTTGCTGACAGTATTTTGTTTTAATATTCACACCACTGCTTTATAAATAGGTAGGCAGAGTGCTTTGATCTGGAAATGTGGCCATTCTTGCTATGAAAAGGAGAGGAGCAGAGCTTTTCTTTCAACTGGAGCAGTGGTTTGGACCCAATAACAGAGTTAAAGACTTCCTAAAGAAAAACAAAAATATCTTTAGATATAGCTTGGAGATATAACTCATAGATTTATATATTGGGCCCAGAGCCTGGACCCAGAAACTGAGCAGTGATCCCACACAGTGATGTCACTGATGAAGGACCTGTGCTCAAACTGATGCCTCAGGTTTTGGCTTTTCTATTTTTCACATTCTGTGCTGCTTTAGTGTGTGGGTCTGGGTTCATATTATGGGATGGTGAGCTCTCTGCACAGAACAGAGAGACAAAACAGTCCTTTTCTAGCTGGGGACCAAGGACAAATGATCCAAATCTCAGCCCAAGAGCACAAACCCCGTGGGCTGGAGAGAGAAAAACAAGGATGGGAGTGCAGGGGCTGAGCTGGAATTGGACACTGAACTGCAATGTGCACATGGAGCAGAGCTGATCCCAGGGAGAGACCCCGTGACCATCGGGCATTTTGGGACCATTTGGGTTCACCTTGGATTCATTTTGGGACCATTTGGGTTCACCTTGGGTGCAGCCCTGGCTGGGCTCTTGTGCTGCCCAAGGTGGATCCATGGAGGAGATCCTTTTCATAAATCCCTGCTTTATTCTTTAACTCTGTCCAGCCTCTGCTCTAGGGCAGCCTTCACAAAAGGCATCAGAATCACAAAAGAAATTAAAGGAAAAAAAAAAAAACCAAACACAAAAAACCCCAAACAAACCAAACAAAAAAAGAAACACAAAAGAAAGAGAAGGTGGATTGAGAAGAGCCCAGAGCTGAGGCCCTGAGGGCAGTACCTGCTGGTGTTGTCGTCGTCCTCGGAGTCGATGAAGCTGCTGGACTCCAGCTCGCTGCTCAGCATGGTGGAGGAGCTGTCGTAGCCAGGGGGGTGCTCCCGGTGCCTGTCCAGCTTGGGGTGCCCGTTGATCCTGGGGGCTGCAGGAGAACAGGAAAGGAGTGTTACAGCACTGGGGAGGTGTGGGAGAGTGAGCCACAGAGAAGTTTGAGAAGAGGATCCATGTTTATTCCCTGGAAGAATTTCCTACCAAGGTCACTGACATGGAAACCAAGAAAGAAAAAGGATAAGTTAGTGTCACCAAAGGGAAACTGGGGACAGACAAAGGTGATACAAACACTCCATTATCAGGAGGTATGAAAAGCACTTTATTATTAGAAATCTTATAGAAACAATGGTGGACCTAAGACCTGATTGGCTTTTAGGAGTCTTCTCACCTACTGGTCAAGAAGGGACAGCTCCTTCTTGTAAACATCTCTGACAAACAGAGACTGAGATAATAAGTGTTTTAATTCTTTTCTCTAAGTTTTTTCACAGCTTCCCAGGAAAATCCTGGGAGAGCTATGTCTCTGTTCAGAGGATATGTGATTACCACAAATGAGAGAAACCTGCACTTTGTTTGTGCTTCCTGACCAACGAGCGAAGTGTAAATTATGAGCTTTTTAAGAATGTATGAAAAGCATACATGCTATAATAAAAGCTCGAAGCCTTCTGAAAATGGAGTGTGTTTGTATTGTGACCATCTCCACCAGGACCAGGACAGACATTTGGGATCTGTGAGCCTGCCCACACGAGGAGCTCTCCAGGCCCAGGCATTTCTCAGTGGCTGCACAAGAGTTAAGTTCACCCCACAGCAAAGCGGGTGTTGAAACCTCAGCGTCGACACTTGACATCTGCAGACTCGTCAGAAACCCAGCAGCAGCTATAAAACATTCCTCAACACCCAAAAAAACCCCTCTTGTCCCTTAATTACCTCCCTAATTAGAGCTTCCACAGTCCCCTTTCCCACTCCTCCTCAGCAAACTGACACGGGAGCTTTGTTCCTCCCAGCCAGGGGTCCCCACAACATGTGCCAGGCAGACCTCCCACCACCCTCATTAATTTCCTCACTCCACTTTCACTTAATAAGAACTTTGTCAGCCTCCCAAAGCAACGAGGACTTGTGTTGTTTGAAAAGTGGGAGCTCTGGCATCTTGATTTATTTTTCCAGATCGGTTTTCCTCGAGGTTTTCCTGGTGTTTGTATCTGCAGTGTCACACAGCTTCAAAAAAAGAGTTTTATTACATTCTTCAAGCCACCATCTTTGTGGGGATTATTTTAAAATCAGAGAATATACAAGCACAGATGGGAGATTATCTGTGCAATTAAAACAGGAATACAATTTAAGGGAAATGGGTGGAAGAGCTTAGGGAAACTCCAAATCCTTCTGCATTTTTAATGGACAGAGGTGTGAAAACGCTGTCAGATCACCCAGATGTGTCCCACAGCTTCCAGCTGCAATCAACATTTATCACTGTGTGTGTGGAACTGCCCAGCAGCAATTCAGCAGAAACAGCTTTTTTTGGGGTGAGCAATCCTGCAGGAATGAAGGGAAACATCCAGAGCTGTGCTGAACAATCCCCCCACGGTACCACGCTGCTCATTATCACCCACTGCACAACCTGGGGAGCTCACCATCACCCCAGCTCCAAACCAAACCTCTGCAAGGATCTTGCTGCACTTCAAACCCAGACTGAAAGCTGGCAACGTTTCCCAGTAAAATCAGGAAACATTTTTTGTAAATTAAAATGGAGAGAAGCACAGAAAAATCTGTGTTTAGTGTTTAAAGTTGGGGTTTTCCCAACTTTCATTCTGTGGAACCTCTCAATTCCAGTGCTCTGGGCTCAGCCTGTTTGACCTGTTCAGGCTCCAGGTGAGTGTTTCTCTGTTCCCAAATGGCTCCTTCACACCTTTTCCCACTTCACCTGTTTGAAATGAAGGCTGGAACACCCTGCCCCTGTTTTCCTGTGGAACAAGAACTCCTTTCCCTTGAGGGAACCCAGGGAAATCCTCTTTGCCAGGGTGGGTGATTCTTTGCACCAAACAGTTCCAAATTGTCCAGCTGGGTGAGCTGTTCCTGTGCCTCTGGAATAAATCCCCTGGCACAAAGCTGTGAGTAACAGAGAGCTGCAGGAGATCCCTCACCCTGCCCCTCTGCCAAGCACCAGGGCTGTCATTTGGGCATTATTCAAACGAGTTTCTGCAGGAGCACATCAAACACTCCCACTGCATTTCCTGCCTCCTGCAGGGACAGCAGGATTTTCCCAGCACACAGCTGCTGGCCCTGGCACAGCTGGGATCCAGGTGTCACAGCCCTTTCCCCATCCTTGTCCCCATTTTCCTAGGCTGTTCCCCCAATTTCCATCCAGACAAGACTTGCAGGTGCAAGAAAAGAGTGACCCTGTGATCACTGTTATGAAAAGTCCTTAAAATCCTGCCCAGGATTAGGTTATTTCACTTCTTTTAGTGTTGAAAAGTGGCAGTTCAGGACACAGAGCTGAACTGTGCATTTTAGGTTTGCTTTCCACTGAAAACAACACACTTGTGGTGGTGCTATGTGTACTGGATGTTGTTATTGTTAAATGAAATATTGTTATGACCACAGAAACACCATGGACACTAAATAATGTCTTTTAAAGCAGCTCTCCTTGCTTTATGCACACTGACAGAACTCACCTGCTGCAGGCTGAAGGCCTGGATTCAGAGAACACTGTTTGTGACAGGCTCTTGCCTGGGCTTTGGTAAAAAGAGGAAATTTCATCCCATTTCCTTCTCAAGGGAAATGCATGAATTGATTTCAGACCACTCCAGTGCTCAAAAAATTCCATCAACCAACAGCAGCCCTTATGCCAAAAACATCCAGAGCAAAACATGCACTGGCACTGATTTAATGCTTAAAACAACTCCCCTTTTCACATTCTTCTTGTTGATTAAGTTTTTAATCAACACTGTGAGAGGATTTTGCCTCTTTCTGTCAGTTCCCAAAGGAATTTGCGGTCAGGATCATGCACAGACAGCTCTCTGCTCCTTCCACTGAGGATTTCCACTCACTCCTGATCAGTGACACTCTGGAAGGGTTAAATGAACACAATCCCTCAGTATAAATCTGATTTCTGGGCTTCTAACTGGAGGCAAGTGCTTTGGTGGGTGGAGCTGTGAATAAAGGCTGGGATGGCATTTCTTGGGCCCAAGTGTTCCAAATTCTGCACCATTTTAACGCAATGGGTGGCACCTATTAATTCTTAATTAAGCCTGGAAATTCTTGTCTGGCAATGAATAAAAAACCCAAGCTTCCTTTGATGTAAAGACCAGAGGCAAGAGATGGAGTTCTTAGGAACATTTTATAGGTGCACTTTGGGTGCATTTAGGTATAAAACAAGATCTTCAGAGCCTCTGTCACACCAGCAGAAAACACCACAGCTGATCCAAACCTTGAGAAATCAACAGCCAAGCTCTTCATCTTCTCATGCTACAGAAAGTTCTGCACATTGTCAAAAACAATCTCTCTGCCACTTCACTGTGGAGTGTATCTGGGAAAAAACGCTGAGCTTCAAAGCCTTTCAGAGCAATTATCAAATTATTTCATTAAAATAATAATGAAGACTCCCTGAAAGCAGGCAGGAACGCAGCCAGGAGGCTCTGGAGGAGGAGGAGGAGTGTCACCGTGATATTTTCTGAAAAATCCCTTTGCCAGGATTTCTTGTCCTGGGAAAGCTCAGAGGAAAAGGTAAATAATAATTATCTGATTCACTTCTCCTGTGTTTGGCTGCTTTGGATGTGGTCTGGAGATAGTTTACAAACAGATGCATGATTGATTGCTTCCATGTGAATTGCTTTTACTTCATGACCAATCACCATCAGCTGTGTCTGTGAGGAGTCAGTCACAAGTTTTTGTTATTCATTCTTGTTAAGCCTTTTGTCTGTATCCTTTCTCTTGCTTTAGTATAGTTTTAGTATAGTATTCTATAATATTATAATATATTATAATGTATATTATAATATCATAATAGCATATCATATAATATATTCACAATACAATAATACAATAACATATCATAATATAATTTAATATGTCAGATCATATAGTATCATATATTATCATAATATATTATAATATCATAATTTAATAGTAGTATCATATTATACTATACTATAACATAATATAATATTATATGATATAATATAATGTGATGTGATGTAATATAATGAAATATAATATCATATAGTATCATATAATAATACAATATCATAAGATAATATAATATGATACCATATAATGATATAATAATATAGTGCCATGATATAATATAATAATTTAACAATATAATATATCACATCATATTACATAATATGATGTGATGTAATGTAATGCAATGCAATATAATATATTATATAATATGATGCAATGCAATATAATATAATATAATAATATAATGTGATGTGATGTAATATAATATAATGAAATATAATATCATATAGTATCATACAATAATATAATATCGAGCACGGAGCCAGACTCCCATCTCTCACCTCGTCCTGGGGAGCCTCACACCCCGCCCAGAGGAGCTGCTGCCCTGGGAGGCGTGAGGAAGACAGCAGGGGAGGAAGAGGAGGCACTCACGGTCCCCGTGGGCAGGGGAGGCAGAGGAGGCACTCACGGTCCCCGTGGCCCGGGAAGATGGCTCCCATCTCTCACCTCGTCCTGGGGAGCCTCACACCCCGCCCAGAGGAGCTGCTGCCCTGGGAGGCGTGAGGAAGAGGAGGCACTCACGGTCCCCGTGGGCCGGGGAGGAAGAGGAGGCACTCACGGTCCCCGTGGCCCGGGAAGATGGCAGGGGAGGCAGAAGAGGCACTCACGGTCCCCGTGGGCCGGGAAGATGTCAGGGGAGGAAGAGGAGGCACTCACGGTCCCCGTGGGCAGGGAAGATGTCAGGGGAAGCAGGGGAGGCACTCACGGTCCCCAGGGAAGATGGCAGGGGAGGCAGAGGAGGCACTCACGGTCCCCGTGGGCAGGGGAGGCAGAGGAGGCACTCACGGTCCCCGTGGGCAGGGAAGATGGCAGGGGAGGCACTCACCGTCCTCGTGGCCCTCGCGGTTGCGGCGCCGGTGCCGCTCGCGCCGGTGGCTGATGACGGACTCGGTTCCCGTCTCGTTGTCCAGGCCGTCCCTGCTGCTGCCGGCGTTGGGGCTGCCACAGAGCACGAGCGGACAGTCACTGCTTTATTCTGCTTTTCCCTCGCCCAGCCACGCAGCCCCAGCCGGGAGCAGCTCGGGGCAGCGGGCACAGACTGCCGAGGTGGGCGCTGCAAACCGGCCCGGAGCTGGGGCACCCCGGGGGAAAGAGAACCTTAAAACATCTCGGGGGGGAAGAGAGCCTAAAAAACATCTGAGGGTGAAAAGGGAACCTAAAAACATCTCGGGGGGAAAGAGAACCTAAAAAACACCTGAGGGGGAAAACAGAGCCTAAAAACATCTCGGGGGGAAAGAACCTAAAAACATCTCGGGGGGAAAACAGAAACTAAAAAACATCTGAGGGTGAAAAGGACCTAAAAACATCTCGGGGGGAAAGAGAACCTAAAAACATCTCGGGGGGTAAAAACAGAACCTAAAAAAACACCTGAGGGGGGAAAACAGAATCTAAAAACACTTGAGGGGTGAAAAGGGAACCTGAAAAACATCTCAGGGGTGAAAAGAGAACCTAAAAACATCTCGGGGGGGAAAGGAGAACCTAAAAACACCTGAGGGGGATATATACTATATAATATATAGTATATAATATATAAATAAATAATAAATGAAATGCAGCTCCATTTCCATTTCTCACCTCACCCTGCACCTCCAGCACCAAAAGCATTTGGCAAACCCCAAAAAAGCAGCAGCAGAGCAGGAAATTCACTGTTACTGTTAGCAATGAAGGATGGGACTGTCAGTGAGTTAAAAATGATTTCTTGCTCAGATAAACATGAATTTTACAAGTTGTGAGTAGGAATTTTAGAGGAGCAGGTAGTTGGTTCTAGTTTAAGAGTAGTTATAAGTTTATTTGTTACAAGGTAAACTGTACTTTAATATTATCTATAATATATTAATAATTTATATATAAAAATGTAAATACTTTATATAAATATATAATATATAATATATAATGTATAATATATAATTTACAGTTTATAATTTATAATTGATATAATATATATTATATAAAATATGAATTATATATTAATAATTTTAATATATTAACAATTAGAAAATATGTATAGAATATTTTCTATTTATACATTATTAATATTGTAAGATATTACAGTAGATTTATTTGGGAATGGGAACAGCAAACACAACCTGAGCCATGTCCTTGAGCCCTCAGAGCATTCCCACTTTTTCCCTGCAATATTTGGAATATTCTGGAAGAAGCAGGAGGACCAGCAGGGCACTGGACCCACAGAGCTCGTGCTTAATTACCAGTTAATTATTTTTTAAAACAAAGCTGGAGGTGGCAGCTGTGCAGGCAGGTTTAGGGCAGCAAAGACAAAAGCCTGGTTTTATTTTCTGGCCAGATCAGAACACAGGAGGGCAGCACAGCCCTTGCAAGGCACTGCCAGAATTTCCCAGCATTTCTTGTCTCCTCTAAAAGGTTTTTTTAAAAAAAGACTCACAATACTGAGAGCTTTTCCAGGCAAAAGCCATCCCAAAAAAGAAGAAAAAAAGGCAAATTTAGGCCATATTTCCTTCTCCAAACACAGCCTAAGAGCACAAGGCCCTGCTTTAAATCCTCCTGCTGGAAGGAGGAATTTTTTCCTGGTGCAAATTCCCTGGAAAATGAAGATATCCTAAGGATCAGGAAGAGGAAATAACAATTATCAAAGCAGATATTCCCAGCCTGGCCACCCACAGCTGGAGCTGGCAGCCTCTGGATGGACATGGAGCAGGAATTATTATTCCTTGTGGAAATTCTCCCTGCTGCCAGCAGCCTTCAGCTGGCTCTGCAGCCTCCCTAATTACACAGAACACGCTAATCACTTGTCAGCCACACACTGCAAAAAGCATTCTGGGCTCCCCCCCTGCTTCACTCATCCACAGCAGGCTGGAAAATGAGATATTTGGGATAAATATTTCACTCTGCCAATGACAGGGAAACTTCATTCCCATTTCTCTTTTAATTCCTCAATATTTGATTTTTATAGTCACAACAACAAACAGTTGGCTTGGAGCAGGAAGAGAAAGGAGGGAATTAGATGGGAATGAGAATTTGATAAATAAATGGGAATTATTGGAATGCTGGGAAAATGAGATATTTTGGATAAATATTCACTCTACCAATGACAGGGCTTTTCAGTCCCATCTTCCTTTTAATTTCTCAATATTTGATTTCTATAAAAGTCAAACAGCTGGCTTGGAGCAGGAGGGGAAATGAGGGTGACAAATAGATGGGAATGAGAATTTGGTAATTAAATGGCAATTACTGGAATGATGGGGCTGGGAAAATGAGATATTTTGGATAAATATTTATTATTGGATAAATATTTGACTCTGCCATTGACAGGGGTTTTTCAGTCCCATCCTCCTTTTAATTCCTCAATACTTGATTTGATTTTGAACAACAACCAGCTGGCTTGCAGCAGGAAGAGTAATAGATGGAATAAATCAATAATAAATCAGTGGGAATTTGGGCTTACTGGAATGATGGGGGCTGGAAAAATGAGATATTTTGGATAAATATTCACTCTAACAATGACAGGGTTTTTCAGTCCCATTCCCTTTCAATTCCTCAATATTTGATTTCTATAAAAATCAAACAGCTGGCTTGGAGCAGGAGGGGAAATGAGGGTGACAAATAGATGGGAATAAATCAATAATAAATCAATGGGAATTTGAGCTTACTGGAGTGATGTGGGCCAGGAAAATGAGATATTTTGGACACAAGTATTGGATAAATATTCACTCTACCAATGACAGGGGTTTTTCAGTCCCATCCTCCTTTTAATTCCTCAATATTTGATTTTTATAACCACAACAACAAACAGTTGGCTTGGAGCAGGAAGAGAAAGGAGGGAATTAGATGGGAATTTGAATTTGATAAATAAATGGGAATTACTGGAATGCTGGGAAAATGAGGTATTTTGGATAAATATTTCACTCTACCAATGACAGGGCTTTTCAGTCCCATCTTCCTTTTAATTTCTCAATATTTGATTTCTATAAAAGTCAAACAGCTGGCTTGGAGCAGGAGGGGAAATGAGGGTGACAAATAGATGGGAATGAGAATTTGGTAATTAAATGGCAATTACTGGAATGATGGGGCTGGGAAAATGAGATATTTTGGATAAATATTATTATTGGATAAATATTTGACTCTGCCATTGACAGGGGTTTTTCAGTCCCATCCTCCTTTTAATTCCTCAATACTTGATTTGATTTTGAACAACAACCAGCTGGCTTGCAGCAGGAAGAGCAATAGATGGAATAAATCAATAATAAATCAGTGGGAATTTGGGCTTACTGGAATGATGGGGGCTGGAAAAATGAGACATTTTGGATAAATATTCACTCTACCAATGACAGGGGTTTTTCAGTCCCATCTTCCTTTTAATTCCTCAATACTTGATTTGATTTTGAACAACAACCAGCTGGCTTGCAGCAGGAAGAGCAATAGATGGAATAAATCAATAATAAATCAATGGGAGTTTGAGCTTACTGGAGGTGTGTGGGCCAGGAAAATGAGATATTTTGGATACATCTATTGGATAAATATTCACTCTACCAATGACAGGGGTTTTTCAGTCCCATCCTCCTTTTAATTCCTCAATATTTGATTTTTATAACCACAACAACAAACAGTTGGCTTGGAGCAGGAAGAGAAAGGAGGGTGAGAAATAGATGGGAATGAGAATTTGATAATTAAATGGGAATTCATTACTGGAATGATGGGGCTGGGAAAATGAGATATTTTGGATAAATATTTCCTATTGGATAAATATTTGACTCTGCCATTGACAGGGGTTTTTCAGTCCCATCCTCCTTTTAATTCCTCAATACTTGATTTGATTTTGAACAACAACCAGCTGGCTTGCAGCAGGAAGAGAAATAGATGGAATAAATCAATAATAAATCAGTGGGAATTTGGGCTTACTGGAATGATGGGGGCTGGAAAAATGAGATATTTTGGATAAATATTCCATTCTTAACAATGACAGGGGTTTTTCATTCCCATTCCCCTTTCAATTCCTCAATATTTGAATTTTTTTAACCACAACAACAACCAGCTGGCTTGGAGCAGAAAGGGAAATGAGGGTGAGAAATAGATTGGAATAAATCAATAATAAATCAATGGGAATTTGGGCTTACTGGAATGATGGGGGCTGGAAAAATGAGATATTTTGGATAAATATTCACTCTACCAATGCCAGGCGTTTTTCATTCCCATTCCCCTTTCAAGTCCCCAATATTTGGTATTTTTAAACACAACAACAACCAGCTGGCTTGGAGCAGGAAGGGAAATGAGGGTGGGAAATAGATGGGAAGGAGAATTTGATAAATCAGTGGGAATTACTGGAATGATGGGGGCCAGGAAAATGAGATATTTTGGATAAATATTCACTCTACCAATGACAGGCGTTTTTCATTCCCATTCCCCTTTCAATTCCCCAATATTTGGTATTTTTAACCACAACAACAACCAGCTGGCTTGGAGCAGGAAGGGAAATGAGGGTGAGAAATAGATGGGAATAAATCAATAATAAATCAATGGGAATTTGAGCTTACTGGAATGGTGGGGGCTGGGAAAATGAGATATTTTGGATAAATATTCCATTCTTAACAATGACAGGGGTTTTTCATTCCCATTCCCCTTTCAATTCCTCAATATTTGGTATTTTTAACCACAACAACAACCAGCTGGCCTGCAGCAGGAAGGGAAATGAGGGTGGGAAATAGATGGGAAGGAGAATTTGACAAATCAATTTGATAAATGAGAATGTGCTGAGTAAACTGGGGCTTACTGGAAGGAGGGGGGCCGGGAGTCTCCGATGCCTCCTGTCCTCTCCAGGGCTGGGGGAAGCTCCACGTGGCTCTCGGTGCACTGGGAGCCCGTGTCAGAGTGGGAGCTCTCAGCCAGGACCAGCTGCCAAAAGAAAAAAAACCCAAAATTACACAAAATGACATCCTCAAAATCCCACCAGCTTCTCCAAGTGTTCAGCCAAAATCCCGGGATCTGAGGGGAGGAGCGGGGATTGCTGCCAAAGCTGCAGAAAATCGGGTTAAATTCAGGATCCACGTGAAAGCATCAGCAGCCTGGATGGCACAGAACCCCTGCAAGCACCAGGAACTCTTCTGTGGAGTGCTTGGGAATTACCCCAAATTCCAGTCCTGGACAAGGCAGGATGGCAATATTAACAATATCAATATTCCCAGGATGGAAAAATGGCACCCAGAATGGAAAAATGGAATTACAGATGCTGCAAGGATCCAGCTCCCCATTCCAAACAACAAGGACGTGTACACAACATTCCCTACCCTTGGGAATTACCCCAAATTCCAGTCCTGGACAAGGCAGGATGGCAATATTAACAATATCAATATTCCCAGGATGGAAAAATGGAATTACAGATGCTGCAAGGCTCCTGCTCCCCATTCCAAACACAAAGGTTTGTGCTGCACACAGCATTCCCCATCCTTGGGAATTATCCCAAATCCCAGTTCTGGACAACTTTAATTCAATAAATAAGATCTAAAACATTCCCTCAGCCTTCACACTCCGGGCTAGGGATGCAAAACAAGGCAGAGGAATTTGGGAGCAGGAAAAAATGTTCTTTAAATCTTCCTGCTGAGGAAGGAGGAGCCAACAAGGAGGAGCCAACAACACAAACCATTTGCATATTTTGGGATATTTGCTGTCCAGCATCTCCCTGCCCCTGGAGGAAGAAGCTTTGGCAGGGCAGAAGTGATTGTGCAGGAGTTTGGGATGAAAATCCATTGCAGCAAAGCATCTCCTGGTGAATGGGGTGGCATTTCCTCAAGGATGAAGCACTGGGAGCCCATTTCTTCCTGGTCTGCAGTGGGACTGGAGCCATTCCAGGGGGAGAGGGCTGCAGGAACGGCCCATTCCTGATCCTCCAGCTGCACTGAGGAACAGAAACCCTGAAACTTCCATCAGTTCATTGCCAGCCTTGAACCTGAGACACATTTCATAATTTGTGATTGATTATCCATTTCTTTGGGACCATTTTGGTTCACCTTGGAACCATTTTGGATCATCTTGGGTTCCTTTTGGGACCATTTGGGTTCATCTTGGGACCATTTTGGTTCATCTTGGGACCATTTTGGTTCATCTTTTGTTCGTTTTGGGACCATTTGGGTTCATCTTGGGTTCATTTTGGGACCATTTTGATTCACCTTGGCTGCAGCCCTGGCTGGGCTCTCGTGCTGCCCAAGGTGGATCCATGGAGGAGATCCTTTTCATAAATCCCTGCTTTATCCTTTAACTCTGTTCTAGCTCAGCCTTCCCAAGGCATCCCAGTGACTAAAGAAACACCCAAAAGAGCCATTTCTATTTTTGACAGCAACTTCACAACAGCCACATTCATCTCTGAGCTGCAAGTAATCATTTCCCATAATTTCTCAAATCCCAAATCAAAGCTTCAGCGCTGTGCCCCATCATCCACACCAGGCTGCTCCCAAAGGAGCAACTGCAGAAAAGAGCTGTGCTCCACCAGGAATTCCCCCAAAGGCACCAGGACTCCTCACCTCTGCAAAAACCTCATCAGGAAAATTGTATTTATTTGAGCAAGGAGAAATTGTCTATGCTGAGATGAGGCTTGGGATGAGCGAGGGTTTATATAAAGTGTGAAGAGACTGGCCCTGAAATCAGCTGATTTCATCCAAGATTCTGCTCCTGGGGATTTTTATTCCCTGCCTCAGCTCTGAGCATTTTTATTTTTCATTTCCCAGCCCTGGAGCTCCTGTGCTGCCCTTGTCAAACGGTTCTGCCCCACCACGGCGTTGATTAGAATTGCAAATACAGCCTGTAAAAAGCTGATGTACAAACAGGACAAGAATTATCTGCTGGCACCCAGATAATGGGGAGGAAAAAGCAGGGAAAACCTCACAGAAAGCAGTGACATCACTGGCAGCCAATGGGGAACTGCACATTCCCAGCAGCCAGGCAAGGAATTGTTCCCAGATGTTGCAAATCCTTCCTAAAAAACAGAGATAACAGAGCTGGCAGCAGCCACAAACCAATTCCTGTCACACTCCCAGCTTCCACCATCCCACTTTTTCCCAAGAGAAGGGAAAAACATTTTAATTCATTGCAATAAAATATTTTCTTCCACCTTTTTTTTATTTTTCGAATTGCCCAGTTAAGGCCCAAAAATAAAAAGGCAAAAAGCAAAATTGCATTAATAATTTCCTTCAGGTAAGCAGTCCCAGAAAACTACAAATAAATAATTTCCAGGGAAAAATTATATTCTGGGTTGTATGTTAGAAAAACAGGACAAATATCAGCTATTTCTGGCAGAAGATGTGTTTGTGCAAATGCAATTAATGTTATTAATTAAGAATTCTGACATGCAATTAATGATAGCCTCTGTATTGTGTAAAAAAAAAAAAATAAAGGTCAACCAAAGGAAAAAATGATTTTTTAAGGATTTTAAAGAATTCCTTACAAAGGAATCTAGAAAGGAGCAGCTCTGTCCCAAATTATTTCATGCTTAAAAAACACCACCACAACAAAAAACAACAGCGAAAAGAACCAAAAACACGCAAGAAGAAAAAACAAACCCGGGCTGAAATCAAAAGAAAGAGATCTGAGATGTGGAGGAGGAAAACAAGCAGCACACAGGAGGGCTGGGGAGGAAGTTGAAACAGCTAATTAGCAGCAGGGATTTTAATTCAGCAGTGAATTAAAATGATTTTCATCCAGCTGCACACGGAGCTCTGAGGGCAGCCGAAGGAAAGACCTGCAGGAATTTTTGGAATATTTTCCCCTATGGAAATCATTGCTGCAGGTGACACCCGGATCAAAGTTCCCACCTGTGACAAACACAAGGATTCAAATGGTGTTAAAAAAGATGAAAATCTGCCATTTCCCCACGCCAGCGCTGCGGAAACTTCCAAGTGGCCTCGGGAGGAGACGAGGGGGAAGAGGAGGCTCGGCTGGGGGGTGGACACTGAATTTTGCCGTTTTTGCACGTGTGGAACACGCTGCAGTCTCTGCCAGCAGCAAAGCGTCCCCCCACACAGGTCTGTGCAAGAATCCCAAGCTGCCTCCCGGCAGCTGGCACACATCTCAGAGCACTGGGGACAAAGGAAGCTCAGGGCCAGTTAAAAAAAAATAAATAGAGATGAAGAAATAATCCTGGCCAAAACAGACCAAAAAAAGTGTGTGTGTAAATATAAATATAAATGTAAATGTAAATATAAATATAAATATAAATGTAAATATACATACATATATTAATTATATATATATGGATTTTATATATTTGATAGATTATATATAATCACTGTATTTATTAATATATTTTATATATTACATATTATACTATGCATATTATTATATTTTAATAGATAATTACATAGTAAACATAATATATAAGATATATTGAACGTTTATATATTTTATATATCATTATATTATATTTATTTGTTCTGCTTTATAATTATATATTATTTTATATATCATATATAGAAATAACATATAATAATAGATCTAAATTATATTTACATACATATACACATACATATATATATACATATATATAAAAAAATTAATATATATAAAAATTTTATATATATATACACACATACATATATATACACACACATATATATACACATACATATATATAAAAATTATAATTTTATATATAAAATTTTATATATATATATTTATTTATATATAGATATAGATATAGCTATAGATAGATATAGATATAGATAGATATATTTCTAAAAGGTAAAGACCCAACTTTGCTATCCCTGGAAGATTTGTGTGCAATTATCTGTTAAGTCCCAGTGAATGGGATATTAAAAAATTCGAAGGGGAACAATTAACATCCAGTGAGATTTACATAAACCTCCTGCAGTAATTAGCAGCAAATGGAGGCAGATAAGCCCTGCAATTTTATGGGTGTTAGTGTGGAAAAAGTCATTTGCAATTCATCACGCAGGTCAGACACAGATGTTTCAGCCCAACAGAAACCCTTGTCAACAGCATCAGCAAAAAGTGCATTTTGTGAGCTCCAAAGCAGCAGAAATTGGGGAGCAGGCTGATGGGTAGGAAGCAGGAAAAAAATCGAGTTTTGAAGGAAAAAATCCAAGCCAGCTTCCTCCAGCCTGTGCTGGCTCGGCAGGGCTGGGGGGGTTTGTAACTCCCCCTGAGCAGCAGGAAAAAATTCAGTCCAGCACACAAAAAAGGCTTCATTAAAGAAAATAATAATAGTATTTATATAATAATTTAACACAATAAATTACCAAGAATTAATATTAAACCCCAAATAATTAATAAATCCCTATTTTATTCTTTAACCCTGTTCCAGGGCAGCCTCTCGGGGGGTTCTGTGACCACCCAGGGACACAGAGCTGGTCAGTGATGCTGCTCCAGGCCAGGCCAGCACAAATCCCACCTCCATTCCCTGCTTCATCTGCAGCTTTTGGGAATCTCTTTTCAGCTCGTTAATCACACATGAGATCCCTTTTTGTGCCATCCCTTCCCACCCTGGCAGAGCCCCACGCCCGGCCCTTGGGCTGGGGACACAAACAGCACCCGGAGCTCGGGGCACCCTGAGAGCAGCAAAGCGCTGAGCCTGCAGCCAGCCCGGACCCTCGGGGCACCCAGGGGACACCAGGATGGGCCTCCTGGAGCACTGATCCCATCCCAGATCCTCCTGGAGCACTAATCCCATCCCAAATCCTCCTGGAGCAGGGACTGATCCCCATCCCAGAGCCTCCTGGAGCAGTGATCCTCACCCCAAAGCCTCCTGGAGCACTGATCCCCATCCCAGAGCCTCCTGGAGCAGTGATCCTCACCCCAAAGCCTCCTGGAGCACTGATCCCCATCCCAGAGCCTCCTGGAGCAGTGATCCTCACCCCAAATCCTCCTGGAGCAGTGATTGATCCCCATCCCAAATCCTCCAGGAGCAGTGACTGATCCCCATCCCAGATCCTCCTGGAGCAGTGATTGATCCTCATCCCAAATCCTCCTGGAACAGTGATCCCCATCCCAAATCCTCCTGGAGCAGTGATTGATCCTCATCCCAAATCCTCCTGGAGCAGTGATCCTCACCCCAAATCCTCCTGGAGCACTGATCCCCATCCCAAATCCCATCTCCACATAAAAACAGGCACAACCTCATTAAGAAAGGAAGCAATTGGTGAAATTAAGAAAGTGGTGCTGTCTGCAGATGGATCCTCAGCTCTCAAACATTCTCTGTTTGTTTCAACATCAGTTGATTCTCTAATGCCAATGGTTTTTATTCCTTTGACAACCAATTTGCTCATCCAGGGAATCTTCTCTTTTTTCCTAGAGACAAGTGGTGCTCCTTTCTCTGAGCACTGCCCAGCTTTAGATGGGAACTAGATCAGAAATGCAGCTTTAAACCAAAATAAAGCTTTCAAGCACTCCTCCATGCCCCAGCCGAGCATTCTGACCCTGCTGTGAGGAAATGCGTGGCTGAGCTCTTGGAAAAGCCACGCTGGTTATTAGCCAGCTACTGCTGCTGGGGCAAAAGGTTGGAGCACAAAGGTAAAAAACAGGTAGGGAGGTCCTAAAAAAAAGGAAAAAAAGTAACTTTTCCTTCTGAACACAATTCCCAGGATCAAACAGCTACTTTTGGACAGCACAGACTGAAAATCCCAATTTTTAAAACCTCAATTAATACAAAATCTACTGAGTGCTTAATACCCATTTGGGTGTGTGTGGGAGGTCTGATTTTAAACTCAGCTTTACAAAGCCACGTGTTTTGCTTGCCTAACACTAAAAACCTGTCGGGACTACCCAGCTGCCAGAATGTGAGTGCCCTAAAACGAAAAGCAATCAATGGAGCAGGAAGAATTGGCTGGTTTTGTGTGACCCAGCTGAGCTCAGAGCTCAGGTCCAGCTGCTGGGAGCCCAGCAGGGGCTGTGCCTGCTCATCCACAAGGAATCTTTGCTCAGGAAGCATCTCCCAGCCAAAGCCAGGCGTCAAAGACACGCTGCACTTTTCCTTGCATGCAGGAAGCAGCGTGCAATCAATCCTGTATTTGATTTTTTGTGTTATTTCCATGTAATCCTGCCTACAAGAAGCCAGGCTGGGAAAGGTCAAGCTGCTCGGCAGGCAGCAAATGTCCTTATCCTGTGTATCTTCCATGTCTGGGCTGCTAAAATATTTTAAGGGATAAAATAGTTAAAATATTTAAATAGTTAATATTTAAATTGTTAAAAATATTAAAAGAGTTAAAATATAAAAAAGCTGTAAGAAAAGTGAGCAAGATCTTCAACTCCTAAAATCAGCACAGGAATGGAGAAAAGCTGCTCATTCCACCTGAGAATTCCAAGTTTGTACCAACTGTGCAGTTGGAAAAACTCCTATAAAGTTACTTTACTACTATTTCCTTGTGTATCTTAATCCCAGCAAGAACAGGATCTAAAAATCAGCTGCCAGTATCAAACACCACAGATTTCCACACACAAAATCCAACATACCCAGGACACCACTCTTCCATTGAAGCAAGGGAGCTTTGCATTGTCATCTGAGATCTCTTCCTTCACCACCCTGGAAAACAAACAAAAAAAAAAAAAAAAAAGAAAATCAAGAATTTGAAATCACATCAGATCAGAATGGACAGTGGTTTTCTCAAACTGTTCAGGAAAAATACAATTTATTCATTAAAATGTTGGTGTCAGCAGCTGCTCTGTGTTTACAGAACATGGGACTGTGAGGATAGAGGAAATAAATCAAAATAAAAGGTGGAACAGCAACTTTCCAGACAACAACCCCAAAGTGGGAGGCACTAAAATAATTTCAAGAATTTCCCATTTTGGAGTCTCCCCAGAGCCTTGAAAGGCCTGAAGGGGAATAAAATCCCCCTGTGCTGAAATCCCCCGTGCCAGAGATCCCACATTTGCACCAAAACCAGATTTCTGGCCTCAAACTCACTGCAGAACAGGGACAAATTTGCTGTTCACAATCTGAAGCCTGAAGTCTCATCAAAATGTTTGCATCCACGAGCACTTTTTCCTTTATTTATGTTTTTGTCTTGTTGCTGGGTGAAGAAAAACCACAATAACCACAAAGCAGCTCAGTGGGATAAAAGAGTGTCGTGTTGGGGGGGGCTGGTTGGGAGGGAGAAAACAGTAAATGGAGTTTATTTTGAAAAAAATAAAAATAAATAACTCCACCACTGATGCCTGCATTCCCTCACATTTTAAGGAATGAGCACATTTTTTTTTTCTCCACGCTTATTTGCATTGTTAATGGCTGGCAGGGCAATATTAGGCAATCTTTATCCCCTTTTTTTTTTTCTATTATTGGAAAGAAAAACATTGTAAAATATTCACTTCATTCCTAAACCATCTGTCCTCCCTTCATCTTCTGGCAGCAGGAATCAGATCATATGATTCTATTCTTGCTTTTAGTCATTTATCCTCAGACTCCAAGGAGCAAACTCCACTAACAGCAGAAACTCAGGGCTTTAAAAACCTCTGACAATTCAGAGAAGCTCTCAGACCTGTAATTCTGGAGCTGCAATCCCAGGATTTCAACACTCTCCTGGATCTCAAGGGACAGACTGGAATCTTTTGTGTCCCACAGGGAACACTCACTCAGCAGAGCTCCAGCTGCTGGATCAGCAGAGAAAGATGCTGCAATAATTTTATCTGCACGTCTGAAAGGGCAGGATCTGCAGGAAATGACACTCAGGACATCCCAGAAATCCCAGGTGAGAATTTCTGCACCCAGCAAAAATCATACCGAGAATTTCTGCACCCAGAAAAAAATATAAACAGAATTTTAACACCCAGAAAAAATCACACAGAATTTCTGCTCCCAGCAAGAATCACACTCAGAATTTCTATACCCAGTAAAAGCCATATACAGAATTTCTGCACCCAGCAAAAATCATGCACAGAATTTCTGCAGCCAACAAGAATCACTCATTTAAAAACTGAAAACCCAGAGCTCCAGCTGCAGACAAGCCTGAAGACCCTTTTGCTTTGCTTACAATGCATTTTCTACTTTTCTTTTGCTTACAATGCATTTTCTACTTTTCTTTTCTGAGCATTTTCATACAGAAGAACCAATCTATACCTTAACTTTTACCTACAGCCTGTCAGAACTCCTATAATTCCATATTCATGTCACTACTGCCCACTCACAGTTCAAGCTAGAAGTTGTTTTTCAGTTTTCTTGCAGTGGAAAATTCTGAAATCTTTTTTTTTTTTCTACATGCAACACCACCAGTCTTGTCTGTCTGTGGAATCTTTTTGCCTGGTAAAAGCATCTTTTTGTTTCAGGTGGGTTTATCCTTTGCTCCAAGCCCAAAAAATCCCTTTTAACTAAAACACCCTTTGCCTCCTTGGGTTATCCACTAACACTGGCTCCAGCAATTCTTTTCTTCTATACCAAAACTTGCTTCCATTTCTATTCCTCCCTCACATTCTACACTCAGAAATCTTTCTGCCAAGCACACAAAAATGTGAGACTTTCTTGGCAAGCTTTCATCCTCCCCAACAACAAACCCCAAATTTTCACCTGCGCTTCTGCGCTGACCGGTTCAGCTGCCCTGGTGATGGCAGGACAAAAACCCAGCCCGGGCTTTGCTGCAGCTGAAGGGAACAACTTCCAGATCTGTTGCAACTTGAAACTACTAAAGATAGCCCTGAGCTAGGAGGCGAGGGAATGACAGGCTGGAATTCCCAGCTGGCTTTGGGGAGGGAGCAGCAGCGCCAGGAACATCCAGGATGGCAGCAGCAGTCGAGGTGAAAATGGCTAAAAATGGTACAAATTGTTATTGGAGTCAAGAGGATCCTCTCCATCCCCAGCAAGGAGAGAGAGGAGGCAAAAAGGAGGAGTTGGGGTGGTTGGGGTTGGGGAGGTGACACCTTGAGGGATGCTGGTTTCTTCCTGGGGTGGAGAATATTCCAGCCTGAAGCAGCACAGCAAGGAAAAAAAGGTGATTTCTCCCAAAAATTTCTTCCTGAGGTGAAGAATATTCCAATCCGAAACAGCATAACAAAGGAAAAAGGTGATTTATCCCAAAAACTTCCTGGGGCGGAGAATATTCCAATCCAAAACAGCCTAACAAGGAAGAAAAAGTGATTTTTCTCAGAGACCTCATCCTGAGGTAAAGAATATTCCAGCCTAAAACAGCATGGCAAGGAAAAAAAGGTGATTTATCCAAAAAGTCTCTTCTTGAGGTGAAGAATATTCCAATCCAAAACAGCATGGTAAGGAAAAAAAAAGTGATTTATCCCAAAAATCTCTTCCTGGGGTGGAGAATATTCCAGCCCAAAACAGCATGACAAGGATAAAAGGTGATGTCTTCCAGAAACTTCCTGAGGTGAAGAATATTCCAGCCCAAAGAAGCATGGCAAGGAAAGAAAAGTGATTTATCCCAAAAATCTCTTCCTGGGGTGGAGAATATTCCAGTCCAAAACAGCATGGCAAGGCAAAAAAAGGTGATTTATCCCAGAAATCTCTTCCTGAGATGAAGAATATTCCAATCCAAAACAGCATAACAAGGAAAAAAAGGTGATTTATCCCAGAAATCTCTTCCTGAGATGAAGAATATTCCAATCCAAAACAGCATAACAAGGAAAAAAGGTGATTTCTTCCAGAAACTTCCTGAGGTGAAGAACTTTCCAACCCAAAGCAGCGTAACAAGGAAAAAAAGTAATTTCTCCCAAAAATCTCATCCTGAGGTGAAGAATATCCCAATCCAAAACAGCATAACAAGGAAAATAAGGTGATTTCTCCCAGAGACCTCTTCCTGAGGTGAAAAATATTCCAACCCAAACCAACATGGCAAGGAAAAAAAAGTGATTTTTCTCAGAGACCTCATCCTGAGGTGAAGAACATTCCAGTACAAAACAGCATAACAAGGAAAAAAAGGTGATTTATCCCAGAAATCTCTTCCTGAGATGAAGAATATTCCAATCCAAAACAGGGTAACAAGGAAAAAAGGTGATTTCTCTGAGACCTCATCCTGAGGTGAAGAATATTCCAAATCAAGCCCAGTATAAGAAGAAAAAAAGGTGATTTCTCCCAGAGACCTCATCCTGAGGTGAAGAATATTCCAAATCAAGCCAGTATAAGGAGAAAAAAAGGTGATTTCTCCCAGAGACCTCATCCTGAGGTGAAGAATATTCCAAATCAAGCCAGTGTAAGGAGAAAAAAAGGTGATTTCTCCCAGAGACCTCATCCTGAGGTGAAGAATATTGGCCTTGGATGTGCTCCACCTGGAGATAAATCACCAGAGCTCTCAACCTGATTGCTAATGGACTCAGTGTTTGAAAATAACACCAAAGAGCATCTGATAGCAAGGCCCAGAAAAGGAGATGTTTATCCCTTCTCAGAAAAAGAGGTTTTTATTTCCCAGGTCACGTCGTGCCTGTTGGCAGCCCTGTGCCTGCGGAGGGCTCAGAGCTCCTGTTCCAGCACACACAGCCTCCTGTTCAGCTGTTGTTTCAGCAAACAAACACCTGGCCACAAAGTTGGAATAAAAGTGATATTTCCAGGTCACTCACTACAGGTCTGCCTGCCCAGCTCCCACCTCCGTGTTTGCCCCTTGGAAAGGGAGAGCACAGCACACCAAGAATTTAGATTTTTATTCAATATTCTTCACAGACTTGTGGCATCTCCCTCTTTGCTGCACTCCAGAAAAATCTCCCTGCACAAAAAGCTTTTAATTCATCCCTCAAATGCATCTACCAGGTGGAGGGAGGTAAAAGAACAGAGGGAGAAGCAAACAAACATCTGGCCACAAAGTTTGAGAAAAACTCTGCCTGCCCAGCTCCCACCTCCACGTTTGCCCCTTGGAAAAGGAGAGCACTGCACACCAAGAATTCAGAGATTTTTCTTCAATATTCACAGACAATATTCAATTTTCTTTACAGACTTGTAGCATCTCCCTCTTTACCACAGAAAAATCTCCATGCACAAAAAGCATTTAATTCATCCCTCAAATGCATCTACCAGGTGGGAGGAAGGTAAAAGAACAGAGGGAGAAGCAAACAAACACCTGGCCACAAAGTTTGAACAAAGGTCTGCCTGCCCAGCTCCCATCTTCACACTTTTGTCCTTTGGAAAAGGAGAGCATAGCATACCAAGAATTTAGATTTTTATTCAATATTCTTCACAGACTTGTGGCATCTCCCTCTTTGCTGCACTCCAGAAAAATCTCCCTGCACAAAAAGCTTTTAATTCATCCCTCAAATGCATCTACCAGGAGGAAGAACACAGGGAGCAGCAAACAAACATCTGGCCACAAAGTTTGAGAAAAACTCTACCTGCCCAGCTCCCACCTCCACGTTTGCCCCTTGGAAAAGGAGAGCACTGCACACCAAGAATTCAGAGATTTTTCTTCAATATTCACAGACAATATTCAATTTTCTTTACAGACTTGTAGCATCTCCCTCTTTACCACAGAAAAATCTCCATGCACAAAAAGCATTTAATTCATCCCTCAAATGCATCTACCAGGTGGGAGGAAGGTAAAAGAACAGAGGGAGAAGCAAACAAACACCTGGCCACAAAGTTTGAGAAAAAGTCTGCCT